AAAGATATCATTTATATATGTGCATTTTTCTAAGGCTTTAAAACAGCAGATTGCAGAGTTACAGGAAGATTTAAAACGAAAAGAAGCAAAATGGTCAACCACCCATAGACGCCTGAGAGATCAAATAGAAGCCTTAGTAAACGAGAACATGGAGCTAAAAGAGGAAGTCAAAATTATGGAGAGGTTTCGTCTTGAAGCCTGGAAAAAAGTAGAAGCTGCTGGAAGCAAGAAGAAAATTGAAAATTCTGGGGTGACTCTAAGAAGAGCAGAATCTGTAGTAAGTTTTTAATCTCAGTGTTTTAAGTTGGTGGCTGTGAATACTCTGGGTTTTGGATCATAAAGTTGGAATCCAGTAGCCACAACCTAGACATTAACTTTTAATTTACTAATCTCGGGGAGTCTACTAGTGGTGCCAGACACAGAATTTGATTAATCTCACGTTCTCTCCAACTGTGAATGTTCACAGAACCATGGAATGGTTGAGTTGGAAGAGACCTCTGGGAGTCATCTGGTTTAATGTCACTGCTCAAGCAGGGACACCCAGAGCAGGCTGCCCCGGACCACGTCCACACAGCTTCTGACGATCTCCAAGGAGGCATCTTTATGTGCAGTATCTGTTCTGTTGAGAAACTTGTCATCTTTGAAATTCAAAATGATGCAATTATAAGAGGAAAAGTACATAGACAGGATATAACCTGAGAACTTTTGTACCTCAAGGATCAGCCAGGCAAATCAGGCAGTTCACCATTGTCTACAGAAGTTATATTTAGTTTTGAAACTATTATTCTGGATTGCTTGTACCAAATTAACATTCTGTAATTGGTGGTAGGGAGGCAGCAGACAGAGGAAGAGTTCCAAAACATAGCTTGGGCTACATCATGCAAACCCTTCTGCTGACTAAATCTCAAAAAATGTAGTTTGTGAAGAAAGCTTGCAGTTAGTTTCATGACAAATGGTGTATAAATTTTATTGCAAGTGAACAGTTATTGAATAAAAGTCACATAACCCACAAATAACTCTTCCTTCCAGAGTCTACCAAATAGAGGCCTGAAAAGCCAAACTGGATCTCCACTTCTTCCAGCACAGAAGAGTGGCAAGATAAGTGGCAAAAATTATTCACAGGCGAAAGGTATAAATGTTTGTCTAATCAGCAAATTCTTTAAGAGTTAACAGAAAATAAATGTAGAGGGAGCAGTGCTGCTGTTCCTTGGTTTCCTTCTTTTCAGTTAGCTGGCAATAGCATTTATTCCTATATCCCTTCCTAATGAATCAGCAAACATAGCAAGGAACTGGAGGGTTGTAGGTTTTGTTTGTTTTTTGACATCTCTAAAGGCAGATAACCAGGATGTTATCTCTTAGAGGAGTACAATCCAGAATTGAAGCCCATGCTGTTTTTACTTTGATAATCTTTCTGGAAAGCTAGGGAAGACACAGGAAAAGTCTGCCAAAGACTGTTTTTGTTGAAAGATTGTCAGTCCTGCTTTATTCACGATAAGGTATAGCTAGTAAGAATGTTACCGAGATCCCTAGGTGGAAAAGAATCTCCTCTATAGATCTAGAAATGAAATAGGAGAGAAAGTGCAAGTATTTTGTTGGTTGCAACGATTCTTCAGTCAAGCATGTTGCTAATACATGAAGCAAATTACTTGCCCCAGAGAGCTGACATGCTGTTTTTTCATAAATGTACTGTTTTTATTTTCTGCTGCACTAAAGAAATGTAGGTGTCCTGTACAACTTGATCTCATATGTAACACTTAAACTGTACTTTAATTTTACTGGCCAAATTAACTTCCTTATGTTTATCTGAGTAGGAAAGCTTTCTAGAACGCCTGCCTCAGCACCTGCTAATGACAGAAGCAACTCTGAGACAGCAGCACTAGAAGATTCTTCTAGGACTTTTATGGTAGTAAGTGTTGTATCTTGATTTTTAAGGGGAAAAAACAACACAAAACAAATAAAAAGAAACCATGAAGTTATCTGTACTTAAATGAGTATTTGGAGGGTGACCTGGAAAGCTGTTGACTCATTTTTTATTATTTTTCTTGGTAATGAAATTGCAGTTAAGGGCTATATAGTAGTCAGTGCTTTACCTCTCTCTAGCTGTTGCAGCATTCTTTGGCTGAGGAAAGGAAAGGAAAGAAATAATCTACCCCCTAGAATTTTGCAGAATGTTTACCCTTTTTAGAGGAGGGAAAAACCTGACTATGTATGTTCCATGTAGAGAAACCATTCAAGAATCTTTTAAGAATTCTTAATTGCTTTAGGTAGCATTTAGGTTTTATAAAACTTCATCAGCTGTTTCACACCTTTGTATGGGTGACTTCAGTCTGTTGAGCACCACGCTACAGCACTGAATTCCATTTTACCTTGGACAAAAACTGACCACAGACAAATTACTGCTAGCCAGAGTACCTCATATAGTAGATGTTGCATAAAATCCAGATTGGGTTTATGACTTCCCAGACCTGTCTTCCTACCCTCATACTTCACATTTCCTAGAATATTTATCAGCCTAGGGAAAACAGTTGCACGATGACAACTCAAGTTTCACTTGAGTTTATGCTTATATTACCGGTGTCATTTCAGGACAGCTCTCCTAATGAAGCTCTTGTGCCAGCACCATCTGGACCTGAGCATACAGATGGTGAAGAGATACAGAGGGAAATCGCTTATCCTGATGGAAAGGTAAAATGAGAGTGTGGCACTTGAATTCTGTGAGACACTTGCTGTGAAAGATGAGATGAATGGGTACCTGAATGTGATGGCTAAATACCGATATCTGCAATCCATTTGTTAGGTTGAAAAGGTTTTGAAAAATGGCTGTCACCTCATATTTTTTCCCAATGGAACGTGGAAAAAAGTGGGTTCTGATGGGAAGACTGTAACAATCACCTTCTTCAATGGGGATGTGAAGCAGATTATGCCTGATCAAACAGTGGTATGCATACTACACCTTCTCCCCTATACTTGTATGTGTGTGTATGCATACAGTTCCTGACTGGATACATTAATTTGAACTGTTCCCTGCAGATTTATTATTATGCTGATGCTAAGACTACTCATACTACATACTGCGATGGCTTGGAGGTCTTGCAATTTTCAAATGGACAAATAGGTAAAGAAATCATCCAACCCAGCCAACCCTCAGAACTACTACATATGTATGCAAAACACTCCTGTATTTATGTAATATTGTCTCAAAATACATTTCAGAGAAACACTATCCTGATGGCAAGAAAGAAATCACTTTCCCTGATCAAACTATCAAAAATTTATTTACGGATGGGCAAGAAGAAAGCATCTTTCCAGATGGCACTATCGTTCGTGTTCAGCGGTAAGCTTTGTTTTCAAGTACCCAGACTACTGACAGGGAAGCAGTAGTTAAGAGCTCCCTGCCAGAGGCAGTATACAGTGATGTATTTGTAAAAGCTTATATTTGAATATACTGGACTGAGAAGGCTTGCTTACTGTTTGCATTTTTCTTGTATCATAGAGAGGATAGAGAACTGAATACCTGTGTATTTTCTAGTAAGAAAAAAAAAAGTTACTTAAGCATTCTCTAGAATTACAAGTGAGAAGTTACTTAAGGCCTCAAGCAGGTCTGACACCCAGTCTGACTGCTCAAAAAATTATTTTAAACTTTTCCTGGACCTTTGCAGAAATAGATTAAGAGCAGAGAATGCGTAGCAAATGCTCTTGAGTATAAAGAAGCCATGTCAGTTTTGGAGAAACATGTTTGAGTACCAATCACCTGTGATGGTATTTAACAAAAGAGGCCTTTCAAAAATACTGTATTAATTTCTTCATTTAGGCTTATGTATTTAATGCTTGTTCCAAGAATAAATTTAAGCCTACTTACAGTCCTTATAATTCTTACAAAAAAAAAAAAAAAGCACATATATATGTGTTTAATGCAGAGATGGAAGCAAAACTATTGAGTTCAATAATGGCCAGAGAGAGCTACACACATCACAGTTTAAGAGACGGGAGTATCCAGATGGTACTGTTAAGACTGTGTATACGAACGGACACCAGGAAACCAAGTATGTCTCTGGGAGAGTAAGAGTAAAGGACAAGGATGGCAATATCCTCATGGACACCAAGGTGTAGTAAGTTCATGCTGATCCTGTTGGTACATCAGCAAAACTATTGTACATTCCTGTAAACAATAAGAACCAACTTTTAAACTTATGTTTTGTATATATTGTTTATAGTTTTCCTGAAATAAATTTATTTTTCAGTTGGTATTACTACATTACTACTTTCAGTTGTTTTGCCTGTTTTTACTTTTCAGAAGTTGTTTATTCATTGTGTTCTATGATGTGTAGTTTAAAGGGTGTCCTTTAAATCCTTGGCTGCCAGTGAAAATTCATCAAACAGCTGCAGATGAACTTACTTTAGAAGTCGAAGAGAAAAGCCATTCCATCTAAGGTGAAAGTTGCTTGTGTTAGTGTAAATCAAGGGCGCTTTTCAGTCAGGCTAGAGCTTATTGTTTATTTTTCTTTCATCTGAGTTGGGAAATGAGCATCATCAAACCCAAACTATATTTTGTAAACTGCTAGTCTTTAAGGCTAGCAAAGGCAACTGTGAAATAGGTTAATTCTCCATGCTGTTCAAAGAAAAGGGGGAGTAAACATCAGAAACCACCAAAGGTTATCTTCTCATCCCATTCTTCTACCTCATCCAGTTGCAGACTTTTAAGCTGGCTCATCTTTAAGAATTCCCCAGCATGTAGAAGTCTTGTTACTGCTGCTATGAACAGCGGATGCTGTGATAATCCTTGTTGGTCCCTTCCAGTTTGGCTATTCTAAGTTTATTTCACTTGCTTTTTGCAGTGTGGAAGACCTCACTGCCCTTTTTCTTGGGGAAAGCAAGCTCGGTAGTTACTGCGCTCTATGGGATGTACACTTACTCAGCTAGAAGGCTGTAGAGGCTGGTCATGGCAGTTCTGGCAGCCCAAAATGGCAGTTCTTAATGTAATTCAGGCCTACGTCTCTGTGACAATGGTTGTATATAATTTTTAATAGATATAAGAACAACATTACATTTGAAAGATTATTGTAACACCTGTAGTATTTAGAACGGCATGTAGGACATTTCAGCACCAAAATACGTACTAAACCCATGAACTAATCCTTCCAGTGCTAGTATAAACTGACAACTTGCAACACTTAACTACAGAGTTCACAGCCAGTCTGTGCACTAAGTTTTGCACACATATTCATGTCAAACACAGAAATGCACAAGGGGATGGGTGGTCAGGAGGTTCGCCCTGAATGTAAAGAAATTGCTATGCAGGTGACAGCACTCTGTGATTCAATGGTACAAGCCCATCTGCTGCAACAGCCTGAACTGGACAATGCTGCCTTCCCTCTAACTCTGTTCATCTTGTTAACTTTGCAAAAAAATGAGCAAAATGTAACTTGAGCAAACTGAGTTCCAGCTACTACCACAAAGAAACAAGGGTGGAGCTCAAGCAGCACTTGCTGGGACAGAAAACACACCTCTTCTGATCTTTACAGAGGACAGAAAGGAGAAAGAATGGTTTTGGTCATAGATATTCTGGTCACACTTAAGTAGCCATTTTCAACACCATCTGAGCAGGGACTCAACTGGAGCTTTCTTCTGAAAATACTTCTACCAAAAACAGGAACTTGCACTGAATGCAGGACTACAAAGTTAAAGATGCCCAGCCTGCTCCACTGTAAGGGCTATGGTCAAAGTAAGAAGCCACGAAAGGTCATGCCAAAAATCAGGGAGTACCAAATAAACGAAACGAAGCAGAAGTCTCACATTGTCACTACCAGATTTCTAGGACATACAGAGCACCTATCTAAAACCCAGCTGGTTGTAATGAGATTCAAGCCATGTCCAGGGTGGACACAAGCAATCCAGGTGAATTTATCTATTTAGGTATTTGTGAGAAAGTGAGTGTAACAAAGACCTCTAAGAGAATGAGAGGCTGGAGTCAGTTTTGTTTAAAGAGACTATCGCCTTCACTTGTGTCTGATTTCAAGACTTGTATTTTGCTACACCAATTTCCTCTGTTTTTCCTTGATAATCTAGATCAAATTCTCCATGGGGTGACTGAAGCAGCTGAGCCCTGAATATAAAGGATGCACTACACTAAAAAGGTTTCTTTGAATGTCTCTTTATAGCAGGAAAGAGAAGAGCTTTCAGATGTATGCTGAGCAGGCTCCAGTTTATTCTAACACTTTGAGTTGAACGCTACAGCGCCTGGAATAGGAAGGAGGCGCAAGGACACCCAAGCCAAAAACAAAACACAGCAACAATGCAAATGTGTTTCAGAACAAAACGAGTAACATTCCCCACCTCCCAGCTGTTCATTCCTGGTTCCAGACTGGTACCAAGAAACTATCACCAAAGATGCCTGAAATATGAACAAGAGTTACATCACAGTAATAAAACTATCCTCTTCTCAACGTTATTTCTTCATCTATTTCCTTACTACAACACATTCATTCCAGCTACTCTTATCAAAGAATTATCACAAAACACCACTTAAGGCTGTATGTGAATAGATAGCGAAGCTATCTATCTACATCTCAATTAAGAGTCAAAATTGTAAAAATCTATAAATGCAGATTAGGAGAGTGCTTCTTAAGTGGGAGGGAAAAGAACTACATAACATCAAGTTGGTTAAGGAATTTGAAAACCCAAAACCCAAACCAGTCTTCAGTATTCTCTGTAGACACCACATGGTATAAAGCTTTTCAATTCAAGTATTCTGTGTTCAGAGGGATGGACATCCAGGAGTTACAGAGCTCAGTATGAGAACCACTGGCCCAGGACGTTGAGAACAAATGCTGAAAAGTAAGAAAATAATTTATTATTATGATTGTTTGGATAGAGTACACTGCCACTCACCTGCTAGGAACCTTCTTCAATGACTACCAGCAAAAAAAAGCTCCCCTTATCATTGCCTTAACACTCCTAAGTTTCAGTACCTGTTAGTTCTTAAAGCTGTGTGTGCTTCAGTTATGTGTAACTAACTAAATTCCATTTTTAATCAACTTTTATTTAATTAGAAGAGTGGAAGTGTGGACAGAAGATTTTTTTAAAAAATTTAATTCTGTTCGCGGTCAATCAGTTAGCATATTGAGACCCTAGCTTAAAACTTTTGAAACAATGCCTCTTCGTGATGGTATGAATTTGTAATTCGTATTCACAGTACTCACATGTCACTCCTCCAACTCTGCAAGTCCCATTTCTATCAGTTTCATATGAACTAGTTTTTGATCATCTTCATACAAGGAAATGGTGACCTCTGGTGAAGATGCCTGAAAATCAAAGTTTTAACAGTTTTCAGAAGCATGACAATGATCTGTTTAAATCTCACAGACCAACTAATAGTAAAAAGGACTTTGCTGGCTATTCTCACTGCCAAATGGAACTGTGAATACAGGGAGTATTTCCGTAAAGGAAATTAAAGAAACTTTTTTTCCCCCCCAAACCAGGAATGCTCAGCAATTTTTTTTGATTGCAGACTTCAGGAAAGAGCCACATGATTTTTTCACTTCAGTAGCAGTTCCTTCATGGTAAATGGTTCAAGATTTTAAATTATGAGGGTCTACAGTAAAACAAGTACTCAGAAATTACACAAAGATTGCCAGAAAGAATTTTAGGCTGAGCTGAGCAAGAATGAAGAAAAACTGCTATTTCTCACAAGTATGGAAGCAGAGAGCTGTTTTCCTTCAACGCAGTCCATCATAGCCCACAGTGCTTCCATGCTCCACTCGGGACAATACGGGATTCTTTCTGCATTTGTAGCAGTTAGAGGTTTAAATCCAGCCAGCAGAGCTCGCACTGCCTGAACGGAATACTGCAGCAGGTGATGAGGTATGCAGCGCAGCCTGCAACAAAAATGAAGTGTTTGCAGGCAAGAACCTACCTGTCAAGCAAAACTGTCTGTCACTGGAAACACAGAGACAGTTTTAATGGTTCATGGGACAGTTTTAAGGTGTGGAAATGGGGTCAGGGGCCCTGCTCTACAATAGCCTGCTGGTGTCACGCTGAACAATTCACCATGTAGGGCTAGGCTCTCTGAAGGACTTTCGCATCCTAACTATCATGAAGTAGGCCAGTGTCATACACCAGGCACGCTGGCTCACCATTACAGCACCCACGGAGGAGTCTCAGGTGCCCAACATAGACTGGAGTGAAGAACAGAAGAGCAGGACTTCCAAGAAAACCAAGGGACACAATGCAGCCTCTACAGCTTGTGCATCTGGACAACGATGTAGATCTCTGCAGTTCAAACTACTTCACTCAAATGTCCTAGTCCAACTACTTGATGTAGTACTTTAGTTTTGTTTTTATCATCTCATTATTCACCTCCCTCTTTCCATCCCAGAAAAAAAGGAATAGGGATGCTGAACAAGAAGCGCAACCCTGAAGTGTATCTCCTAAGACTGTAACAGCCCAGGAAGCAGGAAATCTGTTCAAATCCCCATTAAGTAAATCTGTAGCTGCTCCAGTGAGCTCAAAAGCAAGTCAGTGTGACTTATTTATATAAAATGCATGTGCTTCAAGAGAAATAATTCAGAGAAGTCTAGGGGACCATGAAAGCCTAGTGTCTGGGACATCTGTGCCTGTGTACTGGTGCTTGAGGAGTAGTTCCTAGCAGCTCAGCATCAGGCAAGAACAGGGATCTGAACTTCCAGCTTCCTCATAAGCAGCGTGGGGCGTGCTTTGTTCAGTCACTTCCTTATCTTATTCCCCAGCTGTCTTCTACACAGGTTGAGCTGCAAAGGGTCAGAGGATTTATTTGTACAGAAACCAGGGACTAAGCCCTCCAGGTAAAACCTTCTTGGGTGCAAAAGCAGATTGTGAACCCAAGCCTACCTCACAGGGTATGAAGTTCAGTAACCCAATGATAGAGAAACCTGGTATTATAGTAACGGGCTTCTCCTAACTACCCCAGAGACAGAAGCAGGTGCACACCCTAGTGCTCTGCAGGCAAATTGTGTAACCAGCCACCTAACTTTCTCTCCAACTGAAATCTAATGCTGCACTATTACTTATTGAGTATCTATAGCTATATACATGTGATTAATACATTTGTGAAAATACACGCACCTGTAAATACTTATGATATAAGCATATATATACACGCATACACATGCGCACACATCCGTATTTTACATGCATTTTTTTCTGATTATTTACTTGCTGGTTGGAACAGCTGAAAAATTGCCGTAGTCAACAAACTGAATCAGGATCTTATCAGAGTTGAGTTCTTCAACAGAGAGGAGCTTCGCTCTATACCACAAACCATCCCTGTATTCTGCAAGGCAAGGCATTTCTGCAAAAACAAAAGCCCCAAAATACACTCAGTGCCATACAAACTAATTCATGTCATCAATTTTGCTTTGTGACTGCGATTCTATTCTTTCTCTAATTCGTAATATTCTCTCTGAAATTCAATTCACAATTACTAGGATGTAATTTTAGTCAAGTTAAAAACAGCCAAACTGCTTCATGTTGGAAATTTCCACTTGGACTCTCCTGTACACTTCAGTTAGCAAATAGATCAGACTTTTAAGCTGGATACTGCATAAAACCAGAACTTTACAAACTAGTTACTAGAAACAAGAACTAGCACTAAGTAGTTTCTTCACAAAGTTCTAGATGAGTGCAGTTTATTATTTTAGGCCCTCTAGCTGTGGACAGGAGAACTGCAGTATGTCATGCCTGATCTGAGAAATTCAGAATAGGGTTCAAGTAATTTCCAACTCTAGATTTTCAGTACAGATCTTATGTCTTTTGAGTATTTAGTAGACTTCCAGAGCCATAGCTTCAGGGAAGAATTTTATTATTGCCATATTCAATCTAAATGTTATTCATCAGCTTCAACACACAACAGAAATTTGAGTTACTTTCATCATCCCACTGAAAAACAGTAACAGAGAAGTCTTTGTTTCATGCAAAGAACACATAGTGTATCATATGATCATCATGCAGATTTGTTTCTTACTCTGTTAGATTTACTCAAATATCCATACGTAATAGAATTATTTTGATTCTTTGAAAAGAATTTCAGGCTTTTGTTTATACACATGGAAAAACAGGGGGGGAGATAAGTAAACTAACATACCTGTTCTGAAGTCTGTCAGGAGAGGAAGAGAATCCACAATTTTATTGCACCATTTGAGGGCTTCATTGAGGCTGTCCAAGTTGCAGCTAGCATCTCCCTCTGTGGTAGACGGCTTGGTAACGTTCTCAGAAGGATTAAGACAGATGTATACCTATCCAAACAAAAGGCTCCCATATTACAATTTTTGTAGACTTTTTATGACCTTCAAATTCCACCGCTAATCAAGGATTATTAGAATACTACCTATTCCCATCCTGGAAAGGTTTCAGCACTTACCTCTCCCCTTTCTTCTTTCCTCAACTTACAAATAAATTTCTAGTTACACATTTTTCCCCCCCAAAGTAGAAGAGAGTAACCATTTATTAACATCACATTTCAATATTAGAAAGCAAGAAGCGAAGGAATGCACTTCATACCCATGTGAGATTTTGCAGCTGTCCCTCATTAGGGTTCCTCCCTCCTACCACTTGGGGTAAGCGATCTCACTTTATAATGGCAAACCAGATTCATTTTAAAATTAGTGCAAGAAGTTCTGAAACTGCATTTTATTTGCTATGCAAAGGCATTCCATTCATTTGACTTCTAACTGGGTCATCAGTGTAAGGCTGCAGGTCCAAGAAAATGAAACTTTAACCAACACACAGACAAGTCATTCAGATTTTAGATCACTTAAAATGTCTTGTTTTTTCAACAGGGACATCGCATAACATTGATATTCTACAGATAGTCCTAGTAATTAATGAGTAGGCTATCAGTATTTGTGAATTCAGCATTATGATTCACCAGCCAGGAAGAAAATTAATTTTCATTTTCTTATTTGTACATGGATCTATAACCAAGCCACAACTCCATCATGCAACTAATACTTAAATATATGAGTCCAGAGCAGGGCCTGGTGTCTGTGATTATATACCATGATCAAAAGCACGAGTTAAATAATTTGCAAAAAATGAACCAAATACATGTTGGTTATCTCCTTCCCTTCTTACAGGGGAAACATGAAGAGAATCCAAGAAAAGCCCTTTTCTAACGTATCCTAACACTTTCATCCTGTATTTAGTCAAAACAATCGTCTGCATAGAATATACATTTTCTGGGGAAGATGCATGTAAGTAAGTTCGTGTAGTGACTTTGTAACCAAACCATAATACTGAAACTTAAGGCAACTGCTTCTATTCTGTAAAACCTGTTATCTACACATTTACCAAAACAATACAAGCACTTCAAAATAAATCAACCCACTCAAAAAACATTAAGACAATCATCTTCTCGCTGCTTTGTTTTCCAGTCTCATCCAATATTCAAAGTCCACGCAGGAATGTGGGTTTTTTTTTTGTTTGTTTGTTTTTTTTGATCGATCAGTATTACATTTGCCCTTTTGCCTGGGAGACTGCACAGGGCAGCTGTGTGGGTATGCACAAAAATCAATGACCAGTCATCGACCGGAGACAGCCAAATGACTGTAACAGCCAGAAACTGTTCACATTATTAAACAATATCCCAGAAATTTAATTTTTGGGAATAAAGAATATAAATCCTGTGTTCTGCTAAGTTAAAATTCAATGACCCACTTCCTTATTATACAAGGTAAATTAAGTACCATACTACAAACCCTGCAATTCCAATTTTTTTAGGGCAACAGGCAGTATTTATTTCACTATCCACCTGCTCCCCCAGGTTATTTGAAATGAGCTCATATCCAGATAGCTGCAGTACTTGACCACCTGTATCAATACATAAGTAGCATTTTGTGACCTATTTTTCTATTATCTAAACTTGTTAGCTGTGATCATTAGCATGATGAGACTGCAGCATTTTCTGTCTGCAGTGTATGAGATGTTATCAAAACTCACCTCCTTAGGGGATACAAGATGGGTAACTCTGACAGGAAAGATATCTCCTGGAACAGGCAGTGGTGGCAATGTGTACGAAGGCAAAACTTGAATGCTTCTTTCAAGCAGCTCCTAGACCAAGATGGACTTTAGTTAAGAGTCAGATTTTGTAATAAAATGCAAACTTGGCTTGCGTGTGATTTCTGGTCAAAGGAATTATCTAGCAGCAACATGTCCTTGATAAACATATAAATCAGATGCTATGAGAGACTAATTTATAATTAGGTTTTCCATGGTTACTCAGTCCTCATACATACAAATTCCGTGAACTGTATCACAACGATACTGGCTCACATGCTACAACTTAAATGAGCAGTGACAGCAGTACACATTGTACTGCAGAATTGTTTTCTTTCCAGCATGAGTCGCTGCTTCAAAAAAAATACACTGTCAGAGAAATACCATGACGAAATCACACCTACACTTGTTATGCTCAGGTGCAGTGTACTTGACCTTAATACAGTTTATATTTCTGTACAGTTTTTCAGTATAAAAAATAGCAATCAACCAAAGGTCACAACAAGAAACTGGGTACTCTTGTGAGTAACAACAGCAGAAGCCCAAAATCTCACCTGCTTTGGTATGTCCTGACAGTCTTCAGTGACACAGAACTGCTGGTAGGCCATGAAGGAGGAAAGTGACATTCCATGGAAATACAGGCTGACAGACAGCTTGCCCCATGGGTTATCCGGTAGCTGCTACTTACACAAGGCAGAGTAGGATTACAACAGTAATAGCATGACCGATGTTTTGGAAGTATTGACCAGGAAATTCTAACCTGCTACTCCTAATGACACCACACTCGTTCCCTCAAAGACACAAAAGCAGTAAGGATTTCTTAACACCAATTACGGCACAAACTGGAACATGACTGCATCTGTCTCTGGAATGGCAGCACCACCTAACCCACGTAACACTGAAACGTCATCCCAGGTTTGCTCACTTAACGATAAACCCTTTCCTTTCACAATTTACCACTAGAAGTTATTTGAAATTGCATTTTTTTTCCCCAGACAATAGGTATTTGTTTCCCTATAATGTTAATATATGAATTTAAGCATGCCCACATTCAATTCTCATAGAATCATAGAATATCCTGAGTTGGAAAAGACCCCATTAAGATTGAGTCCAACTTCTGGATTATGTTCAAATCATGTCCAACATTCATCACTTAAAATTGTATTTAGAAGAATTTACAATGTTGGTAGGTAAGATGTTGACAGAATACAAACATCAGCAGAAGTGTTAATACCTCCAAAGGATAAATTTAAGGCCTTGAAGTCACTGGAGAAATAACTTTAGCTTTCAATTCTTCCCTCTCAGAGGACGTAAAGACTAAGGATAAATTGTTTTATCTAAGAAATACATTTTTTGCTACATTCCTTCACCTAACGGTCATAATAGAAGTTAAAAAGAAAGCAAAAAAAAGGTAAGCATCGCTCCACATCTACGAATAAACAAAGTTACCTGAACGTGTATTTCAACCTCTTCGTTTGTAAGTAGTTTTTGAAGGAGGTACACTGCATCCCGCTGCCAAAAATTTCCAACCTATTTGGTAAAAAGCAAGAAACCCCTAAAGAGTGAGGTGCTTATAAATAATACTATTATCCTTGTAAGTAACACTATTATTCTTAAAAGAGATGAAAATATTTGTCTTATTGAGCAACTTCTTGGAAAGCACATATAATTAGCCTGAGTTGTCTACAACAGTTTATACACTGTCTGCTATTTGGTACACTACAGCTCCTTGTGTTAACAACGCTGACCAGCAATTTTCAGATCTTGTAGTGACTTAGAAAGAGACGCTGCTTGCCAAGTCTAACCTGTACTACATACAAATTGTCATGTATATGTGCAAATTACATGAAACATAACCAAAAGATACAGAATTAAACTTGAAGATAACAGAACAAAGATACTGGGTACTTTAAATACTCTGCAATATCCATTTGCCTGCCAAACCATAGGCCTATCTTTCCCCATAAACCTCTTTTTTCATCTATCTGAACTGCTTCTAGCAATAAAATAGTTTTCTTTAAAAAAGTATAAGGTAAGCTAGCCATTTCAGTAATTCACACTTACTAAATGCACCATTCTCAAATTAGAGTAACAAAACTGACTTGAGAGTTTACAATTTTGTGGCCATTCTGCAGTAAGAAATCCAGGACTTGCTTCTTGTTGCTGCTATTGTAAAAAACAAACTGCCGCTTCAGAGTATCATCCTGCCACTGCCAGACACTGTGGTGTCCTGACTCAATAATTTAATTCCAATGACAGCTGCTTTTGAAGTATGATCATTTCATAAAGTAATCTGTTATTTTCTGATAGAAGACAGCCTTGCTGAAGTGATTCTTATCAGCTATTCCCTGAGTTCTCAGAGGAAAGCAAAAACACCAGCAACTACTCTCAACCTCTGTATGACTGAGCACTATCATCAATTGAGTAAACACCTAAAAAGTCTTCAAAATTTAGCCTTACTCACTGGTACTGTCTTGTAGAGCTGACATGGTATGCAAAATGGAGGAGTATCAGCATACAACGTAGTTGGATACAGATGACACTGAGGGACCTTCTCTATATATCCACGGTCGATGTACTGTACCTACACATAAAGGTTTTTCTAAAATAATTCCTGCTTTTAAGGTCAAAAAGCAAAGGGCTTATTTATAGCATCATTTTTCCAGAGGAAGAGAATAGCTACGGAAAAGACTGAAGAACTGCTAAGACATTTAATTTATCTTTCAAGAGATCTGCCTCTTCTGAAGCAAGCTACAGCAGTTTAAAACTGAAATAAAAACCACTGCAAGCTCGGAACTTGTCAGACCTGCAAATCTATAACCAAAAAGCATGCATAGACTCAGGAGATTAGGTAATACTAACTACTAATAACTGCTAATTGGAAAAAGGAGCTCTATAACATAGCAACTGAAAGAATTCACAGTCAACAACTACTTGCTTGGTAGGTGCAAGCTAAAGCAAAAGTATTTAAGGCATTCTGCTTATGATCCTAACAAAAAAGCAAAAAAACAGAATTGGATTACCTACAGGTAATCAAGGGATCAAAGACAGCTTTATACTTAAGAACATTTATCATCAACAGGATTACCATGGGAAAATAATAACAACTGAAATAAGCAGACAGAATTCAACTTAAGATAAATGTAAAATCAAAGTGATCAAAATTTGAAGCAGAATGAGCAGCTAGGCAGTGATATCAGCTGAACAAAAATAGAAGTTATACATTTTAGAGAGTCAAATCAGTTATTTATATTTACTATATATGTGCAAACGTTCACACACACAGACAAAATACAGTCCAACTTACCTGGAGAGTACCACCACCAAGTTCTACAACTTTACCTCGATACCAAAGGGTATCTGACCCTCTTATAACACAAGCTTCTCCTTTTTTCCAACAATAGGGTTCCAGAAGACCAAGGCATTTGAAGTTACTTTGTATTTCACTCATCAATTTCTTTAGTTTACTTTCTGGACAAAAGCAACAAACAACAATACAACAGTTGTCTAACACAAAATTCAGTCTAACTTTCAACCACAAATTATTTTGATTACTTGAAGTCAACACATTCCATGAAGAGATATGTAAACAAAGTACATGTACTGCTCCAAAAAATGTTTTCAATACTGATACAATAGATATGTTCAATTTCTAGTAGATGCAAACATGACCACTTAAACAGATGTTTTTCCAGCAGTGAGGCCATCAGTGATTCTGGATTCCAGCCTCTTGTGGTGCCATCTTGTAGGCATCTTTTTTTTTTTTTCCTTGCCTGAAAGCAGTGCAACCCCTACCCAGGTGAACACAGCCCTCACTCCCAAGCCGAGGTCCTCATCCCATCCCGAGAGCAGCACTCCCAAACATGACCCTTGTGTAACAACATTCTGATTCAGAACATGTCTAGAAGAACACCTATCCGGTACATTCTGATGTACCAGTGTGAGCAGGTTCATAGACATAAATGTATTTTCTCGCGTGCAATCTTACCGAATAATTTTGGTATCACATAAATAGTTCCATCATGTCCAACACAGGTCACTACCGCTTGAAAAATTTTCACTTCAGGTATGATGGGGGTTTTATATATTTCATGCATTTCCAAACGAACCAATGACTTGTACGTTTTACTTGGCTTCTGTTCACTCTCTGAAACATCCCCATCTTTCTCTTCAGCAGCACTGTCTCTTACGTATGCAGTTTCTGAATCACAACTGTTCAGTTGTGGGTTCTCTTCCTCTAGACGTACTTCAGGATGTTTCTTGGGGACTGCACAAGCCACAGCAGCTTTGTGAGTTCTAGCAGATTCAATCAAAACACAACACATTAACTGGTAAAGAACTTGGAAGCGTGAAATAAGATAATGGAACTTAAAAAAAAACACAACAGAAGATGGAAAATGCTTCTTTACACAGTGTTAAATATCTCACCAACCAACTTAAAGAACTGGAAACGTGGAATGCAAAAATATAAATTACTCAAGAAACTTCACTTAAGATGGTGTTTTGTTACTACATACGCTGTAGAACATAATCCAGTTTTGTTTTACTCATTAGATTTCCACAATATAGCTCAAGTCTGAAAGAATATAAAAGAAGTATCCAAACCTGTTGTTTCTAAAAGCCAAACCCTTTTTAATAAGGTGTTCTGAAATATCAATTAATTGTCCTGCTTCATCCTTGCAAAAAATTTTCACAGGCAACGCACAAGCCGTATCACCTTCCTGCAAGAAGTTTGGAGAGCTTTAAAACATTGTTATAGGCATTTCCACTAAACTACTGGCACAGTTTTTAGTTTATCAGACTGCAAATCAGACTTAACAACTGATGCTCCCATCAGAGCACACGTTTACTTATTCCGTATCACAGTTCTTGTCATTTTACCAACTGCTGTAAACATGACTTGAAAGGAAGTAACAACAGGATTTTGCTTCTTCCCTTATCTGTTTTGATAGAATTAACAAGTAATTAATTTATTCTACAGCAGGAACCCCCTCATGGGTAACTTTCTCATCACTGCTTTTATTTCTAGACACATTTTAAAACCTGAGTGGCAGCTGCCCATAGACATTAAAAAAAAGAAATCCAACACTCATGGTAATTCAGTTTTGGTAATTGATTGAAGTACAACACTGTACCTAAAACTGACCCACTCTTTCAACTTCTGAAGCTTGAAAACTAATACAGTAGGTGCAAAAGTAATTCTCCTCAAGACCAGTGAGTGCATCTGACTGAAAAGACCATCCGTTACATTTGTCAGCAGCCAGTGATCCTGAAGATGTAAATGCTATTCTTCATTAAATAAGGATTATTTAGGATTATTATTTTTTTCCCTCCACTGGGTAGTCAAAGTGCTCTAATGCTCCACTGGGTAGTCAAAGCTGCTCTAATGCTCCAGTGAAGAGTGGAAAAAAGCAAAAGCATCTTTTAATTTACCAGTGAACAAGTTAATTACTTTCAGGACTCTCTGAAGAGTGTGAATATCCAGAAAAAAAAAAAGTAACGAACAACTTGATACAGATTTTATAAATATGGCAAAAATATTTTGATTACAAACCTGGATGATTATTTTTGCTTGTGCCCCAGTCAGGTAATAGGATATATAGTCACACACCGTTGCTGTCCACTTCCACTGTGTGCTTCCACCTGTTGGACTAATAAAAAAGATTATCGCCTTTAGTACAAGAGAACTAACCCTTTACTGAGGTTTTAGTATGTTTTGAAACTGCCTGCACTGTCAGGGAAAAAAAACAAAACATCACAATCTGCATTACAGTCAACAGTAAAAAGAAACTGTTATTTGTTTCTCAATCTATAGTACAGGAAGAATTCATAAATATAAGCCCTAAAGTTTCAAACTGAGGAGAATGATCAGATCTAGAAGTATGTCACCTATCTTAAAAGAATCGAGAAAAATCCAGACTTCGCCTGCAAACTGAGCCTTCTATATTAATTTATGGAATGAGTATTACAAGTATGTTTTTCTGCACATTATAGACAAAAGCACACAAATGCAGAGAGGAATACGTCAATTCTCTCTTCTATTGTCTCTATGAAAGATCCTTTACATTTTCATGAGCTCTGATGCACCTCAAATTTTCCGTCAAGGCAAGAAACATTCAGTGAATTAAGAAAACCCTGCATTATCTATCCAGTGTTCTGTATAATTCATCCCTTGAAACTTTAGTTCTGTATCACAGTTTGTTTTTACTGGTATGTAGCCTAACTCTTAGAAAACAAACAAACAAACACACAACAAAACCTTTGCAAAAGAAATGGCAACTCTCACTGCTCGTTTTTTTTTCATCCAAGGAGCATACCATATCCAGATCTTAGGTCATCACCATTAATACAGGAAAATATTGCGCTATGTCGTTATCAGGTTTCTAATGCTGCTGCTTCAGAGTAAGGGAAAGGCTACCTTATGTCTACTAAGGAGCATTCAATTGCTAATGTCTTAATTCTCTTCATGCTTTCCTCAAGTTTTCTTAGGCAGCTGATATCCACTGTTTTTTCAGCTCCAGAATCATAGAGCATTACCTGTTACAAACAAGAAACAAAACAAAAACCTCTCTCTTAACATTGCCTGTAACAACATGATAACTCCAAGCATGCCTGAACAGGGGAAAGAAAATTTAGCCTAACATTACCAAGATTTATAATGGAGTGAAATCATCAAGGCACACAATGATCAATGCCCTTCTTACAACAAAAGTGGCAATAAGAGATCACTGACAGGACAAAACAAATGTTTTCACATGTAAACAACTTTACAGAGACTGTTAACTTGCTTAAGCTAATTTATTTTCCCTCAGTTGTTTCAGTGTATTTCAATTTCTAAACCTATAAACGCTGCATACCTTGCTAAAGTCAAGACAAGACCCCTGCTCCCCTCTTACCGCTGAGCTAATCACCTCACCACGAACATGTTTGTCAAGCACAATTTCCCACTTGAAATCCATGCTCACTTCTCACTTCCTGCTGTATGTTTTGAAAAGGGTTTTGAATATTTTCTCTATCTTATTTCCAGAGAGCGAAGTGAGGCTTATCAGACTGTAGTTCTTCAGATCCTCCTCCTTGTCCTTCCTCAAGATTAGTGTGACATTTGTTTTCTTCCAGGACCCCGGAACACCCCCCGACCACCATGACCTCTCAGAGATTGTAGAGAGAAGACTCGCATATTGGTCAGCTCCCTCCCTCAGCCCTCAGGGGTGCATCCCATCAGGTGCCAGTGGCTTGTGTATGTCCCCCTTATTTAAGGGTTTTCCATACCCGATCCTTATTCTCTTCTTTCTTGCTCCAAACTTTCTTACTGGGCCAAGCTTATCCTGAAGGTGCACCTTACCAGCAGAGACTAAGGTGAAAAAACACATCAAGTACCTTGGCTGCTTCCATGTCCTCTGAACCACACCTCCCACCCCATTCAGCGGAAGGCCTGCATTTCCTCTATTTCTTTTACTGCCATTATGCTTGTAGAAACCTTTCTTGCAGTCTTTCACATCCCACAACAGATCAACTCCAGGTAGGCTTTGGCTTTCCTGACCTTGTCCTAGCATGACCAGACAGCATCTCCATGCTGCTCTTGGGTCACCTGCTCCTGCCTCCTGCTTCCACCTCTTCTATCCTCCTTCCCATGGTTTGTCACGAGTTTTGTCAGGAGCTCTATGGTCATCCATGCAGGCCTCCTACTGCCTTTGCTTGACTTCCTCCATGTGGGATGGATCCACCTTGAGCTTGGAGATGATCCTTGAAAATAACTCTTGGACCTCTCTTCCCTCTGGAGCTGCATCCTATTGGATTCATTCAAGCAGATTCCTGAAGGAAGCCCAAGCTGGCTCTCCTGAATTCCCAGGCTGTGATCCTGCCCTTTCCTTGCTTCTTCTCAGATCCTGAGTTCTACCACCTTCTGGTCACTGCAGCGAAGGCTGCCCACTACTTTCACATCCTTGACCAGTTTTTCCTTGTTCATCAACATCAGTTTTAGCAAACTACTTCCCCATGCCAGCTCTTCAGTCACCTGTGTTGGAAAATCATCGTCAATGCACTCCAGAAAACTCCAGGATTGCTTCTGCTTTACCGGTGTTGCCCTTCCAGCAGATAACCCATGAGGACCTGAGCCTGAAAACTGGCTTTTTCCAGTTGTCCTAGTAAGTCTTCTGCTTCCGTATCAGGTGATCTGTAGCAGACATCCACCACAGTACCCACAGCAGTTTGCCCTCTAATTCTAACCCATAAACTCTCAGCTGGCAAAAGTGCTGTGTTTTCCAGCAGCTCGCTCTCGTAAAGGTTGACCGGCCCTTCATGCAGCTAACATTTCATGCAATCAATTAACAATAAATAATTGCTATCTGTAGAATCGTAACTTTTTAAAAGTTGTGGTAATTCCAGCATTTCCAACTGACATGGTAACTGACGTGGCTTTTTGAGGGCTCTCAGCCTCAGAAAGCAGGTGATGATGCAAAATAAGCATAGGAAGTCCTGATTTTCCTTCCTGTGAAGCACATCCCTGAGGTGTAACGTGGTGATGCTGGGAAGAACCAGTTGTAAACCAGCCCTGGATAATCGGCATTACTACAAAGCCAAGCTTCTGAAGGAAGCAGTCATCTACCCGCATCTAGGACTGTGTGAGAAGTTACACCTCCATGGCACAGTGCTTCGTCACCAGCACAGGGTTCAAGGAAGAGCATGGCTCCGTGTTCCTGCAGCGTGGCACTCGGTTCAGCTGGCCCCATCTTCCAAGCAAGGCTCATTAGGTTTGACTTAACATCCCCCTCAGGTTCGCACTGCTTCTGGAATCTGAGCTAAACTGCTGGGCTGCAGCTGGGCAGTCTGTGCTGTGCTGCCAAGTGCAGCATGAACAGACACAAAGTCAACCTCGTGAGCCTTTTTTGACTATCACATTCCCTGCTAAATGCGTTTGAGCTTTACGAGGCAGTAATCTCATCTGTAGCAATGTACAGTGCAACTTAAAAAGCCTGACTAGAGCAAAAAGCCATATGAGAAAATATTAGCACAGAAGCAGCATAAGTTTTAGATTATTTAATCAATGCATGATTATAAACTTAAAAAATGAACCCTCTTATGATGGGAGCTTACCTCTGCAGTTGTTTCAGAGACGATCTTACTTATCCGACCTCTTTGCCACTGTTTCAAATTGTGTATATACACAGCACAGTGCATATTACACTCCCACTTCACTGACTCTGGCTGGGATTCTTTGTAGAAGGCAGCCATCTTCTCCTGTAAACTAACATTGAACAACACTTTCCTAGTGCTAAAATTTTATCCAGCGAGCGTAGGGTATTATTTAGTCAATTACTGGTTAACTAGCATACATTAACAATTTTAGGAATTGTTTAACAAACACGTAACATTACAGTTTTACTTTATGGCACATTAGGAATACATGAAACGAGGCTGTAAAAACAGACGCAATCCATTTAAAATTCTTGAACAGATGAATTTATCTGAGGGATTATGGACCTTCTGTATGGCACTATTTGAAAAATGGACTATTTTCTCTTTATGACTTTAGTGTGTGGCATTCATTTAGCACCGTGACTAATTTAACGGGACTCTTGGTAGGCGGATGCAAGGAAGTAAAAAGAAGAAAGGAAGGAAAAGTAAGAGGCAGCAAATAAGGAACTTGCACTAGGCACTGACATTGATTTAAACATCTTCAAGCAGCAGGCAGCGTTACCTAAGCAGACTGTTTCCAGGTACCCAAGCAAAGTTGGTATGTTGTTTAGAAGTTGCTTTCAAGCTTTTCTAACAGCATATTAGAATCACAGAGAAAGAAGTAATTTAACTGAAGTTACGAGACTTAAAGATATTGCTATTTAGATTACTAACCAAGAAAAGGGGAGAAGAAAAAGCAGAAATATTTAGTCTTTCTGGATAGTGTACTTAGTACATTAAGTGTAATTTGCAATAGGAGTTAGATCATGTACTTAATTTGGAATCACAAATATTTAATGAATTACAACTTAGTGCATGTCTGTGTTTTGTTCCTGTCCTTTTCTCAAAGCAAGACAAATCAAAAACATTTGAAGAGTACCACTGCTAAATGCAACCCTAAGCAGTTTGCTCTAACTATACTTCATCCATTTATAATATAAACATCTCTCTAGAAAAGCTGCATGTTAGTACCTTTTCAGTATACTTTCTGATGACAGCCATTGTATAAAGATTTTACTGGGAGATACCACATGGCTAATTCTCACTTGTAGCTCTTTCTTGGCAAGCGATCTGAAATCCCCTTCTTCCTCCAGTGGTCTCACATTTACAGGATTTAAATCTTTCAAGTTTTCAGCAGCTTCTTCTACAGGAACATCCCATATTTCAGTGGGCCTTACAGAAGAACTTTCAACGTACCTATAAAGAACATGAAATAACCGGGATGTGAATATCAAACACATTTTCAACAATCAAGAGGAGCTCAATGGTTACAATTCAACACGTTAAGAACAAAGAAAAAACTTAGAAAAGCAGAAAAAGAAAAAAAAAAACAAAAGCATTTGTGAATAATTCTTCAACACTCATGATAGTAACTTTCTTTTAATGTTCCTTCAGGAAGTATCCTTGCAAATTTTATGGTCAAACAAAGGCTGCCAGAAGAGAAGCAAGCCTGATATCAAACAAACTGCAAAACATTAGTATCTTTTATCCAGACATGAGCATTAAATTGCTTTCCAGAAGCATGCTATTAGTAATGCTACCTCTGGGTGAAACTTGCAACATCGAGATATGTACATAACCACTGTCAGAAGTAAGGAAATACTAAGCCTGTGAAACCTTTACCTTTTTTAGCATTCCCTGAGGATACAACGTAACACCTTTCCTAATTATAGTACTCCATGAAGCGTGGTCATGTGAATACCCTGATGAAAACTTGTTTTGATAGTGTGAACCAGACAGAATAAAGCCCAAAAGCAATCAAGCCTTGGCTGGTACACACCAATCCATTTGGGGAACAGCCCAGCCTACAGCTTGGAAAGTCATCTGTTAATGCAAAAAAGAACCGGCTTATTGAAAATACCACAGACTGAGGGAAACAGCAAGCTTAACTGCTTGCCGTTTCTGGACCTCTAAGGAAAAGCTCTCAGGTTTTCAGAGATCTGCCACCTATCTTTTCATTCACAGGAACGAAACTACTTTATTGGAGATAACTATTCCTTACTATTTAGGTATTTATTTAGGTATTGAGTTATTCACAACATCCTGCTGTATAATTTATGCAAACCTTCCTGATACAGGCATTTGGAAACGGCTGGGTCGAATGGCTAACGTGCAGAACCAGGAAAGAAATGAACACCACAATTCATCAATACGCCTGCCTCGTGTACAAGGAGTCTGAACAATCAAATGGACTCCACACAGAGGCAGTCTGCTGTGGCAAGCACCTCCAAATTAGAAACATGTTACACACCCTAGAGCCCCCTCTCTAGTAACTGCAGTATAGCATTATCATTGCAGACCCATCAGAAAAACCATCAGTTTGGAATGAACTTCAGAGTTCAAAGGTTTTTCTGTAACTTTATGTACTTAACTCAGGAGTAGGGTTACTGATGTTTGCTAGGTCTCATTAATATTGCTTCTCAGCAAGTATTCTTTACTGGAGCACTGCGCTCTCCTGCTTACACCATCTCATACTCATTTAGAGCTGACGTGGGTGTTCCTGAACATCACTGAACAGAGTAAGCGTATGACAGATGTGATTCTGGATGTTCTAAAAATATGTTTAAATTCATCTCCAGTCTCTTGCTTTGTTGCAGGCCATCTGTCTTCACAAATGCAAAATTCAGGGAGAAAAGTGTAACAAATGATCTATGGAGGGCTAGAGCCACAAGTGTACAACAATGTGAGCTAAGACCCTCTGAAAAAAACACAGAGCAATCCCTTTACCACCCCCCACTAATATAAGGATCATTCCAACTAAAAGGAATATTGAGTATAGAAGTTAAAGTGTTGGTGGTGCAGGGCAAGGGGAGCTTCTGTAAGAAGGGACCAAAGGACGGAGGGAGGGAGGGAAGAGTGAGGTGTCTGAATTGAAGTGAGATTAGGAACGAAGATTTAAAGGGGGAAGACAGGAATTATGTTTGCCTTCTGTTTTCCAGTACCTGAATCTAACAAATTATGTTAATCGATAATGAATTAAGTTAAATTTCCCATGTTGAGCCTGTTTTGCCAGTAACAGCACTTGGTAAGTGCTTTCCCTGGCTTTGTTTTAAGCTATGAGTTTTCTTGTTCCTGGTTCTGTTTTCCCTGCTGTATAAATAAGGAGGTGTGAGTGAGAAAACAGCTGTATGGCTGAGGCCAACCCACCACATACGGTTAAAACCCAACAGATCACTCAAGTTACCAAAGTCATACAGCATCTTATATTAAGGTAACATACCCATTTGTTTGCAGGCTTATACCAGGCTTTTAAGTATAGCTGAACCACAACAAAAGAAAATACCCTAGTGACAACAAAGCAATCCAACAGAAACAATTCAGGTTTAAATAAAGCTGCTTAACTTTACAAAAAGCTATTAAAAATGTCATCAGTACCGTAAAAGTGTTCTTAGGATTTATTTGTATTTCTGAACTAAGAAATGAAAATCCAATTACTTGCTTCCTCTTGAAAAAAGCAGAACTCGAATTCCACTTTCAAAACAAAAGCTATTTAACAATCTTTTTATTCTCATCAGTAGTCAGAAGTTATTAAGGAATAATTACTGATTTTCACGAATATACTCTTTTCTAAAAACCAACAAACTACATGGAGCAGGACTGTCTCCTCGGCCTCATCTCTTCCCAACTCTTCTGTCTGTCGCTGTTGTAGTTGGTTACCTAAGAGTTTCTCTTCTAGTAGCAGAACTTCCAAAGAGATGAGTTACCTTAAGTCTACTTCAAACATGTAAGGGTGGATATTTCTCTTCTTAATACAAAAGAATGGGAACCTTAATAACCAGTTTGGGAAGATTAGCACTTAAGCACGTTATGAGTAGGACACAAACACTTCATCTGCAACTTTTGAACCCGTTACGGTGCTTAAGGACATGGTTTAGTAGAAGACATTGGTAGCAGGGGGATGGTTGGACCAGATGATCTTGGAGGTCGTTGATTCTGTGATTACACTTACTGTTTATCAAGGTTTACTCTGAGAATTCAATATGACAATCTGCAGAGTTAAACGGACTTATTTCAACTGATGAATGTGGTATGTTATGAATTCATCACAGAAGTGGCCAATTCCATCCACTCAGGTGACATACTAAAGCCAACAGTTCTGTTTCACAAATCCAGTATTTCCAAAGACTTTTGAGTTATTTTGAGTTATGCAAACACATACCCAGGTATGTAGGATGCAAGGTTCTCTTTAACCAGCTGGCAGTTAATACTGGAGCCTCTTCCATGAGGAGCGTGGGAGTCAAAGAGTTTAACAGATAAAATGTTGTTCTTCAAAACCTCTGTGAATTAATAACAAACATAGTTAGTATTAATCAATTACAGTAAAGACCACTTATTCTTCTGGAGACACAGCAAATGGTACGAAGCAACAAAACGTTGTGAAATTACATGTGATTTATAGAATAATTGATTCTGAGCCATCGACAAGATAGAGGTTTAGCTTTGCACACATCTGTAAAATCAAAAGACACTAATTGCAAGAAACCAACTGCTGCATGTAATTTCAAGTATTAGACAGGCTCCAAACCACTGTTCTGTGCGTATTGAAGAACAACTACCTGCATATTAACAGTAACTGGTATTGAGAAAAGTTCTACTAAGGCATACATATGTTAATCAGAATTTGTTTTTGGGGGTTGGGGATGTTTTAGAGCAACAGCAATCACATTCACAGCTACCATTAAAGTCAGGAATTGTTGAGGGTTGCTGGAATTTTGGAAACAAGCTCATCTTATAAACCAGGATATTTAAATCCTGTTCCACCGGCGTGGCCCACAACAAGAGATCTAACAGAACTTTCATCTGAGGTTGTGTCTTTTACACCTTCTTCAGTTAGTTCATGTCTGGATGTGCTCACTCCAGGCTACCCGTCACAAGTACGGATATAAACATTTCAAAGACATAATAGTACACGTTTCTATATTTGAGTTCATTTAATAATACTTAAGCAGAAACCAATACACTTTTGATAACTTACCAACAATTGAACACACCATAAATTTATCTTCAGTCATTTCTTCGAATCTTCTTGTGGCTTCTCTGTTCCACTCATCAGCTGCTTTGTAAGGCTCAATGTAAGCCAGCCTACACTTGATTGCCTGAAGAACAACTCAAATTACCATTTGCCATCACATTTCAATATCATCCCATCAGAGTAAAATCAAATAATGCCTTGATTTTGCATCCATACAGGACAGCATGACCAGGATTCTAGTTCCACTTTAACAACATTTGATCAGACTTAAGACCCACGTGGTCCCCCAACCCTGTAGCCTGCAGATGGACATAAAGCTCAAACTCAGAAACAGTCTTGCTGAAATAGAGCTTACTTCTTGCCTCCCTTCATGGGTAGGTACAGAATTGGCTGCAGAGGACAACAAAGGTTATTATAGAGAGATTAAGAGGAAAACTTTAAACTTGTTTTGCTTAACTTAATGTAGCGACACAAACTTAAAACATTTAAGCATAACGTGACTACAACAAGGATTTTACAGAGACGCCAGAACACCACAGAACTTATGTCAGAAAACTTCTGGAGGTTTTGGTAAGGTATTATGATGACAAAAAAAAAAAAAGACGCAAATCTGATGAGATGAAGTACTTTGTTTAAAATAATTCCCCTTTAGCATCTTTACGTCAAAGCTTGGTTGTTAACTCTTAATACATGATCGTGTATTAAGAGTTAACAACGCTTACATGCAACAGGACAGACCTGCACAAGCAGCTTCACTTCTGATACTCCTACCTTCTGAATCCTCGGTTTTGCAGTGTTGTATTCATTCGTGTTTCAGAGGATTTTAAATCCTTTTTTTTTCTTTTAATTGAAGAGATATGAAACCATAACAATGCAAGCAAATGCAGGCCTGCGCATCTTTCTACTACTTGCCTTAAACCTAATAGCGATAGGAAGTATTTCTTAAGTTCCTGCAATGGCAAAAGCATTTTGCCATTTTCACAGTGTTTCCTCTCCTTTGCTGTCATTATAGAACAGCTGAATTATTTCTGTTGAAACTCTTCCCAGAAACATCTGTTCAAAATATAAACAGCTAAATCCTGTTTTCTGTACAAGATGCCAGCCAATGTTAGTTACAACAGTCACTACTTCCGTGGCCTAGAACAGGCTATAAAACCTATCAAACACATCAAGTTTTAAAGCTTAGAAAAATTAGGATTGACAACCAGAACTGATGAACAGTAAAAGTTTTTTTTTTTTAAACTTATGTGCATTTTTTGTTTGACAGAAATATTTTCCCACCCATTTTTTTCCTTGCCAAAAGGGGAAACTCCCTTCAAGATGAAAAGTTTAGAAAATCCAAACTTCAAATGCTTTAAAACGAAGATACAGTTCTATTAGATTACTGTTTGAAAATGTTACAATGTGAAAATTAATTATGCTTTCTATGATGGAGTAAAAGAAAGTATTTGAATAAACATACACACCCACATACACACCCCAACCCAAGGTAACACTGGATTTCAATTGAAACTGAAATCACTTAATTGACATTTCATTTACTTGATAATCTTAGCAATTCTGTATTTCCCTTTCCATCCATCTGCATTCTATTTATTTTCAGTTGTTAGTTTGAGCAATAACTAAATTACCTTTACTGGAAAGCTGAGAATCTCATCTTCTGCTTTGCGTATGTCTTTAAGAGTTACATTAGCGACGCTGCCAAAGTCAACGTATTTGACCACAACTTCTTGTGAATGTGGCAGCCCTTCAAGAAAAACAATCCAGGGATAAAATCTTCAAGTTATTACAAACAAAAAGGAGTATCAAATCCAAGCTAAAGCATCAGAATTTCAAAGCGAAGTCCACATTTACACCCTTTTAAAAATATCACATTTTCACATGATCTACAAGCTAATGATTTTTTGTTTGTTTAAATGTAAGAGTCAGCTCTTTTGGATTCCTGACTTAAGTTTAGCATTCTGAACCTGATACATCTCATCATTTTAAGACATGCTGGCATATTAACTACATGCCAAGGAGACATGCAAGCAAGTACATATCCATGCACATTAAATACACTGCCCACACAGGCATCTTAGAGGTCTCCCTCTGCCTCCAATACCTTGGCGATTACTACAGGAATGATTACCCCATACTAATTACAATCAGAGGTTGGATATAATAGACAGATCTGTAGCTGAAGCTAATGTGAAATATTAAAATATGTAATAGAATTTCAATACCAAAAAGTAATTGTACCATTTCTTTTGCATCAAGGGATATGAAGCACAGAATAAGAAAAGATACAACAAACATTAGCAGTATTGAATTTATGAACCTAGCTGTTAGAATGACTGCCTAATAGATATAACGGTCGGTTTTTTATTCATTATTCACATCCAATGGGTGACTGATCAAGCGGCACATCTGATTTTGCTACTTAGCATTACAGTGGAAGAACCGGTATTTCACCTGTAATTTGTGCTCTGTACCAATTCCCATCTTTGTGTTTTGCAATACAGGGTTGGCCTTCAACTGGGCAGACAATTTGCACGTCTTTGCTATCCTGATGTCCGTGTCTCTCTCTGTTTTTCTTTGGAAAAGCTGAAGTATCCAGGCTATCTACCTAAATTAAGAGCAACAAAACATTCTGTAATACATACAGATCAGAATTCTTAATTTTCAGCAGTATTTTTGTTCTTTTAAAGGAAATGATTTCTGGTAGTGTATTTTCCACTCCTTACCCCCATACTGAACAGTAATTCACTTCACATGTTCGAAACTAAAGACCCTGAAGATTATTGAATATTGCCCTGCTCAGTCACTATTCTTAACACCAAACCACCACACACCCACATGGAAATTAACCATGTAAGCAAGTTGTCAAAAAATTTGAGGGCATTCCAGAAATTCCTGCATTTAATTAGGATTAATCTAGAATTCTTACAGCTAATCTAGTATGTTAATTCCAGAAATCCTATGACGACTAACATCAGAAAATAATGGAAACTAACTCATTTGTTGTGTACTCCAAGTAGCTCAACATAAAAATATCTGTACAGAGTTCTATTTAAACAGACCATTTCTAAACTTACCAATTGCAGATAGAAATCACTCGGGCTATTTATGTGACAAACTACAACAAAGACTTCTTTTTCTTCTGGTATCTTAGGTGGTTTATACTGCAAGACCGTATTATTTTCTAAGTGATTAGGAAGATGTGACTTATACCTAAGGTACAAAAAGAGTTTGAATAACTTTTGTCAAAGCTGACTGAAAAGGAAGACTTATATTTGGATGTCAGTTTTACTATGAAAAAAATGAAAGAAAACATTTCAAAAGTAACTTGTTCCACATTTGTGTGAATAGCTTGAACTTTCTTTCTTGCAGTTTGCACAGCCAATTCTAATTTCTCCCCCAACAAATCTACCACAGCAGTAAGATATATGCCAGCTGTCCCCTTTAAATATTTTATTTGGGAAACAGAAACGTGCATTTAAATTGTCCCCTCTCTACCCCCCAAAAAGGTGAAGCCCACTATATTGACAAAACATTTTTAAATCCTCTTCCCCTCACTTATGAGAGAAAAACAATTACCAGAGGAATGCAGATGCAGCAGAAGTTATCTCCCACATATCATTACAATCAGCCTACTAACCACCAGAGCACTCACTGTTCTCTATCTCCTATCTCTTTTGTTGGTCCCTCCGAAGCAGCCCCCTTCTGTCCCAATGCCAACATCAAGCTCCCCCTTATAATAACCCACCCTACTGTGACCAGCCTGGCTGTCACTGCCTCCCACTCAAATCAAAGATACAAGGCTGATTTTAGTACACTTTTCTCTCAGCGGGGGACGCTGAATAACACGGGGGTAAAAGGAGAAACCATTGTTCTCAAACTTATACAGAAATTTAGATTTGATCGTTTTCTGAAATAAAGTTCATTGTCCAATTAAAGTTCTGATTAGAGAAAATGAACACGTTTAGTGTTTATTAGTGAAGGCAAAAAAGGGCATCAACAGATATTGCTGAACATGAACACATCACACACTAACACACCGAACACTGCAAAAACAACTTGCTCAATAAACTTCACTTTTTAAGTTCCAGTATCATTTATGACATTATCATTACTCCATTATCATTTCTGTTATAAGAGCGTAGACCAGATGACACTTACCTTGCCAAGTCCAAAAAAACTAATGCATCCTTGAGGGATACAGGCATGTCACTGCTGATTTTATTATGTGGAGATTTTTTCAAATCCACAATGAGAACACCATTCTCTTCTCTAAATATGGTCATTAGAACAACTTTATTATTGACCATCTGTAAAAAGTTTGTCTTTGCTTCCTCTCCCCAACTTTCACTCTGTTAGAGAGAAAACAAAAGTCTTGATGGTATCTGAGAGTCAAAGAAGACAGAAGCAAGGAAGTGAGCATGGATGCATCTGAACAGAAGAGCATTCAGTATTTCCTAAGAGCACAGATTGTTTAGTTCATATCCAGGACAACACAAGATAATATCATTTTGTGATAGACCATTAAGTATTTTTAACTGCGTAAAACTGAGTCAAGCCGATATTAAAACCTGAAATGTATAAGCGTAAACCCAGAGGCTTTCTAAAGGCAGACTGCTGTTAAGTTTGTTTCCTTTCCAACTAAAGCAATGCAAGCCATCTTTTAATAGATACACATATACTTTAAAATATACTCTGTATTAGTAAGTTTTATTCCGTTTATACTGGAGTAAGATTGTGGTACATTATGCACTCAAATTCTTTAATATAAATCTTAAAATGAATAAAATTCTCCTGAAGTAGCAGAGACAACTTTTACTTACTGCATTTTTGGGAACAATATCTTTCAATGAACACTGGACTGCTAAAGGAGGAACAGCTCCAAGTTCTGCCTCAATATTCTTATCTGGCTTCCTTACAAAGGAACAGATGTCATCAGGTTCAATAGTTAGCAAAGGAGAAGGTTCAGGTTGTTCAGCACCATCATACCTATTGCCAATGAGGAAAAAAAAAAAGTAGCACTAGCTACTGAAGCATATTTGCTGACTGTTTCTTAACAGAAAAACTCTTAAGTATCAACTCTCAAAGGACAAATGCAGAGGAACAACTCTTTGTGAGCATACCCTGAGAAAATGAAAGCTTCTGAACTCCCAACATCAATCAGAAATACTTCCATCACTGCCACATCACAAACTTTGTATCTTATTGGATCAGAAGGCTTCTCTTCTTTTTTACTTTTTCCAGGGATTAGTTTAGTGATAGTTCCACGACACCACATTCCAGTTTCCTTGCTCTTGATGAAAATTTGAACACCTACATGGAAGGAAAAAAAAAGCCTAAATTAAGAATTAATATATATTTTACACTGTATTATTACTGTTCTGCCTGACGTTCCGTTGTTGTCCATCTTCCACACAGGTAGTAAGATCAGTGCTGCTAAACAAAGACACAAAAACATTAATTACCTTGTCTTAGTATCTGTCTCTCCTCATTCATTTACACAATGTCTGTGCAGCTATGAGACAGTTGGCTTATATTAACAAATCATTTCTGATAAGCCTTCTATACCTTTTACTGAAATGTCATTAAAGTCTAGTCGAGTCACAAATAGTTCTGTCAAAGTCACATAAGAAAACCTGTATGAAGGAAGTCTACCCCACAAACATCAAAACATTCGAAGATGTACATACTTCACAAGTTCCCTACTTCTGCATAACATACCCAAGCTCAATTTTCATCTCCAAAATTCAGAAAAAACACACTAATAAAACCACCTATACTTTCCAATGTGATTTTTGATTCTGCTCTGTATTCAGGATTGTAACATACTTTTTATCACTTTTCTGAACACCTTCTAGAAATAAGTAACATTGTCAACATGTAAGGCCGAGTATTTTTTTTAATTACTTAGCCATATATTCTTATTTTGTCTTTCATTTTATTTGCAGAATGGTTCCTATCCAGTTAGTGAACTGTAAACATAGACCATCTACCTACCAGAAGTGGCACGCTGCTTACATAAGAGAAAGCAAATTTACTGAGGTAATTAAAGAAGAAGTCTGTTCATTACAATCAGTATTCTAAAAAAGACCTTAATAGCTAACAAGCATCACCTAACACTGGAAGACATCAACGTTTACAGCCAGGTGTGTTCCTGCTGTTTCTTTATACACTGGATTTGGTAAGGTCACTTAGTGAAGAAGCTTTTTTCTGTGTTTCTGTAATTTCCATTTTTAAGATTTAATACAAGTCTACTTTACAAAACAGTTTTAATTGTCAATTTCAGAACACCTTCGCTTGGTAAAGAAATTGTGAAGGAAAAAGAAGACATACTAAAGGATGGTATTTTAAGCTAGCTCACGCATTTAGAAATGACTCATTTACCTAGTTCCAAAACATCTGAAGGCAAGAGATAGGAACTTTTACTACAACAGAAGTTATTCAATTTCTCCTCCAAAAAAACACCTTCTTTCTTCTGCGAGTACCAACGAATATAGAAGTGGCATGGATTTACAACATGGCTTACAAACACTAGCTCTGATGAACCTGAGCAAGACAAAAAAAACAACACACTGATCAAACGCTGTCCAAGTGACTCCAGTGAGACACTATTAGACATGGGATTAGTTATGTTGCAATCGTGTAATATCTCATTACCTCAAACAGCTTTCAATGTGAAGTCTGCTTGCACTTGTTTCAAGTGAGTTACATGCTTGCCTCCTGATTAAGTTTGTTCTTTTTAATGAGTAAGAACTACCTCCCCTGAGCCACCCTGCAAAACTGAAGGCTGTCTCAATACTTACACAGTGGCCTCCTGAACTTACAGAGGTAATCCAGAGCTTTTATTCCCTCTATTTAACAGAGAAGTACAAAGCTCCTAGAAAGTAAGCTGGAAAGCTTAATAAACCTGCTTCCGAGAACAGAAATCCTATGCGCTTTTGTACAGCAATTCAGTGTTACTACATCAGTCTCTAGCTTGTCCCAAGTAGACTAGGAAAAGCATGTATTTTACTTTGCTAGATCACTGATAAGGCTTTGAATTGTGCTTTCCATAATCCAAAAAGCTCTAGAACACTTATTTCATCATATTACTAATAAAACTGATCATAGCAAACAATTCTATGATAATTTCAACTCTGGGATCTGATTTTCATAGTGTATTCACGACAGAAGCCCAAACTTAAGAGCCTGGGAAGGCTCAGATATAACTGATGTTTCTCCACAAAAACTCTTTGTGCTGTAATGAAGCGGCAGCGAACTCTACAGTTCGACTTCACTATGGGCATTAGAATTTCTCTATGATGTACTTCCACAGAAGTTACGAATTCAAACTACTTGCATTCCCTACTACTGTGCCACAACTCTGACAAAGCAGCTGGTGAATGTACAAGTTATTTGAAAGCTAATGCGCTGATGCCACCACATCACTTATCTAACACGTGCTGAGACACTGCCAATATTGAGTTTCTGAGAGTTGCTTGGGACTTAGTGTATTACATCTTCTAATCAAGTCATTCTAGAACAAATGTCAAAAGTGGGATAGTTTTTACATTGGCAAGGAGAGCTGATTAGGGAGCATTTCTGCCAAGTTACACTGCTAGTGCTAATGACATGAGCAGTATAAGCACCTTCCAGACTAATCTGAACTCGAAGGAATTCAGGAGCCTGGTGACTGCTCTTACACACCAACAAGTATGTGTTAACTAGCCAGAATCTCTGGAATCAGAATCTCTTTCTAGACAGGAAAATCACTAACCAGCTTTGTGTTCAGAATGTGTTTCCTTCTTGGAAAGTTTCTTCCTCCATTCATTGTGGCGTTCTGAGGGAAGCTCTGTTTATTATTTTAGGAGAGAAGTTTAGTCAATTAGATTAGGTGATTTATTTACACATATGCAGTAAAGCAGCAAGCACAATACATAGGTTACACGTACTGTATTAACACTGCAGACTGGTAAGAACTTCCTAACACTTGTACTCATCATACTACTACACAGTATTGGTTTGTATCACATGCTATCACGCAAATTCTGCTGAGGATTTTGGGGTTATACACGTCTGGGTATGCAAGCTGAAGGACACCAGGTCATTGGAAGGAGAGCCCAGCTCTGCAGGTAAGGGCTTTACTATCAGGATGGCCAATAATTAGACTTGAGGGGAAAACAAGGGTAATGCTTGCATCCCTGCCCCTCTAACTTATCCTTGAAAGCCCTCCCAAGGTCTGTTAGAGTAACTATTAGCTGACTCCAAGGATGCCTGGATTAAAAGGTAAGGAGCTCCTTTGACAAGTATTACTGTAATTCAATAGCATGGATTAATTAGTGATGGGTCAAGTTCATTGTACCCACACATCTGAAAAGTCTGGGGCATTTCATGGACACAAATATTTATGCTTTTAATTCCCCACTTTGCTTCCTAGGCCCTCTCTGGGGTTGGCACAGACCAGCTGGAAATTTGTGATCCTTTTTTTTGTGTGCAACCATTTTCATACCTGGTGTGACTGAAATAGATATAGAAGCTATGTATAAATGGGCACACACTAAATCCAGTGTTACAATCCCATCATGAAGACAACTGAAGACAGGCCTAACTCATTTTACACTGCTTCTTGAAGGATTTTTCTGACCATTTTGTTAAGTCCACTGAGATTATTGAATATGCTATTTTAGACAGCTGGATCAAGAAATTTATCCCACCCTCAACACAACATAGGCTTCCACAAATGCTCCTACATATCATCCCCACCTTCTCCGAGTGACCAACCACAGACTGTTAAACCCAGTATGTTTGTGGAGTAATGAGAAAAAGAACATGCTGAAGTTAAACAACTTCATTATGGAAGAATCCCACACTATCTGTTGACAAGAACACAGAGGAAACAAGAACTCAGGGGGGACTGGCAATCTACACTCTCCACTGTCAGAGTGCATCTGTCTCACATTAGGCAAGAGGTTTTCTGCCCTTGCAGCACTGACAGCATCTGTATTTACAAAATTGAGATGAATGTGCATATGTCCTCCTGGAATACTCCAACAGCATCTATTTACACCAAAGCAGGCATCCTCTCAACTGCTTAAATGCTTTGGCAGTTCTCAGCAATGGTGTATGGTGCTTCAACAGATGTGCAGAGCTCCAGGAATGATACCTCACTCAGGTACAAACAGCTGGAAAGGCCACTAATGTCACCTGCCTCCTCTAAGTAGCCCCATGTCACTGCTGGTGGTAGTTTCTCCCACTTTAACATTACAACCTTCCAGTATTCATTTGGCCTTTAAATAAGCTTACCCTGTACCTAAGGCTTTTGAATATGTGCATCAATAGGTGAAAACTTCATTGCAAGCTGAAGGAATTTGTCTTATTGTCACATTTCAACTGCTTGGAGAAAAACCCTTAAAAGTAAGCTCAGGGAGAAGCCTGTCACTCCTACATGCAATGTGACAGAAGCACTCCAGGAATGAGTACTTTTGGAAGGAACCCTCTGGGCATACTCTGTCTGAAGCATGGAAGGCTACACTGATCTACAGCCCCTTGTTTGGTGCCTGATCTAAAAGATTTCCTCTACCACCTCATCTGCCCTTGCAATGACATCATTTGAGCAACAACAGGTAGACAGCACATGCTAAAATCCTTTGTGTTGAGTGACAGGAGCACATAAGTTTATCCTGAATTCAAGGCAGTGTGAATACAAGACAGCAAGCTTCATGATTTGTTGTTTCAGAGAGCACAGATTGTTAACACAGGCAGCAACTCCTTTATTAAGAAATAGATACTAGGATCTGAAGACACTAATATTCCTTGACAAACATGGGATGAATTAACAACGCTGAACAAGAACATAAAGGAGATGAACATTATCCCAACTTTTCACATTTCCATCTTTGCAAACATTATTCCTATGGACAGAGAAGTTGCCATCAGCTCAGACTAGGTGATTATTTAAGTCCAGGTCCTGTAGAGAGGCCAGATCTCTCACTCATACAAAGACTTTTGAAAAAAAAGCTATCAACACATGTTGAACAAAGGCTCAAATTTATAATTAAGTGCTAAAGTGCACCAAAGAAACCACTATTATTCAATACTAAACAGTTCAGGACAGCTTTGCTTTAGGAGAATCGCATCCAGCCCAAATACAGAACTTAACTGGCTTAGCTAGAATAGCCTCTAGGAACAAACCCTTTCCTGGCCTTAGACAAAGAACAAGGTTGTTTTGTCAGTGAGAATAACACAACATCCTTATCATGAAGTGGAAAGCAATTGCATCTACCAGTGTTGCTCTTTTCCAGTCTATGAAAAGGCATTCAGCAGTCAGACTGATCACCACAAACACTGATCAATTTTCCTGAAGATCTGCCATCAGTATAGTTGTTTTCCACTCTGATGTCTTCTGCTTAACTGAAACATAACTCAATACATTATCAAACTACAGTCCATTTTTCCATAAGCACTTCTGAAGTGCATTTGGTATCCTAATCCTGACCCAATCTTAACAGACTGCAGACTCAATCCCTAATTAGTACTAACTTCATTGCTACTAAATGCAACACAGATCTGTACTATCATCAAGTTGTTTTTTAAAAAAAATAATTTCAGGACCCTCGCAGTTAAACTGCAAACCATTTGAAATGCTCTCTGGATACCCAACCAGATCTGAACCCACTTAGGTTTCATTTAGTAACACAACAGTAGGTGTGTGCCAAAGGAGTGAGATCCATCACCAGATAAGAATGAAGCCTATCTTGTTCCAGGCAGAAATGTTTGATGGGACTTTTTTCCCCCCCCTCACAGAAACAGCAGTGAGGACTGTTGTTCCCCCAAGATCAAGGAACAGTTCATTATTTCTTCAGACTTCTGTGAGCGAGAAGTAAATTACCAGTTCCCTGAGTTGTTCCTTGATTTCAAAGCAGGTATGGCAATAGCTGAAGTACCACAGTATTAGCTCTTCTCAAAGCCAGCCATTGTTGGTTCTGAAGTGGCTTCATCCACTTTAGTAGAACTGGAGAACGTGAAAAATCCAACTTCCCTACAACTCTATTGAGCTTACTTTTGTACCCACTCTAAGCAGAGATGTTGCTCTTCTCATTACAGCTGCACTGGTCACTGACCACCCCCCATAGTCCTCTTTTTCCCCCTTAAGTGATATTTCCATATTCCAAGTTATTGGAATGCCTTCTGCCCTGCCACCTCCTGGACTCTACTTTGGAGGACTTTTGCAGGACTCATTCCAGTATGCCACTGACTGCCAGTACTGCAGGGTCCAGGACTGGGCACAGCACTCTGGATCCAGTCTTGTTGAGCACCTACCAGAGGGGCAGTACCACTGGCTGGACCTGTGAGCTATACTAACACTGTCCTGGAAAAGCTAACAAGCTGAAGAACTTAACTGATGTTGCCAGGTAAGGTATGACAATGCCTTCATGCCTTCAAAAGATTCAGAAGCCCAGCAAACTGCCAGAACAGAGCCAATGACATGCTCTGAAGGGGACTAATGATTAAGGGAGTTGAAGAACCATCCAGACAGACATGAAAATGTTTGTGAGAAAGCCTTCCCTAAGGCAAGCTGAATGAAGTGAAAGATGTACTACAGGAGTTCAAAGGAAGATAAAGTACAATACAGTCATCACTGCACAGCTTGCACTAAGCTAACGACAAATAACATTGTGCTTGCCATCTGAACACTGTAAGCATCAGGTATTCAGGAACTTACTTTCCAGGTCATCTTCAAATACTTCTTCTATGATGACATCTGGGCTGGACGGGCTCTTGGGTGGAGCAGGAGTGTTCTGATGAGGTACCACAGGAAGTGATCCTTGTACTTGCACATTTTTCACTGCACTGAGACCACCAGGTTTATTTGCCCGAGCCTTTATTTTACTTTCTCTGCAAGGTGGTGGAATTGTATTGTCTACAGAGAGCTGAGTATCAGAGCTTGGCATTTCTTTTTTGTCACCAAGGCTAAGAGCATTCTGTCCATTATCTTCACTGTATTTGGAAAAAGGTTTATTATTAGACACATTAATCCAATCTGTTTTCAGAGAAGCACACAAGTCAAACCAGAGGTTTTATTAAGAAAATATCACTATGTTCTGAAAACGCCTCATGAAAGCTCATTGAAACAAAACTGTATTATGTAGTTTTTCCAATACCAAGACAGCAGCACAGGATTTCTGAAACCTAGAAAGAATTGGCACAGAACTGGTACACGTTGTTGGGCACAGCTGAGTACACAGAGTTGTCCCTGCTTCAATAATCACACAGCACAGGTATGAACACAAAGCACTTGAAAAACATTAGTGTGAAATGTTCATCCAAAAAAAAAGACATGCTACATGTCTTACTACTGACAGTTACAGTCAGTAAGTCTTTTTAACATAACCAGTGCTGACCAGAAGAGCCTTCACAACAACTCCATTCCATTTTAAGTTTTTGTCTAAGAGTACAGGAAAAAAATGAAAAGGACAAATATGAAAGCAATTGTAACTTTTTGATGTCACCTGTTCTGGCATACATGCTCAGTATTTAGATCATGAAGCTGGAATACTACAAATTCCAGTATTTGTTGATCTGAGATTTATACTTTCATGAACCAATTTTCATATGCCAAAATGATAAACACTTCTATTATCAATCAATGTTAAAGCTGATAAAACAGCATAAGAACTAGGGCATATAGTTAAGTGAAAAACAAGTAAAACTGAAACAGATCAACTGGAATGCTAACACAAGCATTTAACAAAAAGTTTTGGTTCTTTACACAAAAACTAATAAGCACAGACTTTTTAAAATTTAGTCTCCAATAAGTATTTACCTATTAAGAAACAATTAATTACTGTACCTGTTCCTCTTCATTAAGAAATACTTACTATCCAGATGCTCCCCTCTGTATCTTCCCCAGATTCTTTAAAAAAGATGTGATCTCATCACAGTTCAGGAGACATCTCAAGAGAAGAGACATTACAAATATCTGTATCACTGATGTATGACACCTATATATCAAACATGTCTTGTGCAATACATGTCTTTCAGCACAAAATGCAATATTTTACTCCTCCACGTCATATGTGATTAGCTACTCTAATTTCACTTCTATGAATCTATTTGGTTGCTCATTTGTTTTCACATTCACACTTAGAACTCTCCTGCCTCTTGCTCTACTTCTCATACAGAGAGTGATTCTATATTACTTACTGAATTTCTGCATCTTAACCTACCACCTTGAGTTTCTTCTTACATACTGGTATCTTTGAAGTTAGAAAGTTGTTTTATTAAAAAAAAAGAATTAAACCAACGTTTTCCCTACTTTGTAGTTTGAAGAGTGTTTAGAAGTTGCACAAGTCTGTCAGAATATATTAATGCATGTATTTGCTTATATAGCTTCAAATTTTTTGCTTTCTCCTGACACCTCAGATGAAGGCAATCATGCCTTTTCAGCAGTATGTTTGTACACACCTGAACTAGCAGTTTCAGAACTATTTAGGCCATTAATTAATGCCACTTAACTGTTAACCAGACAACTTTTGTAATTAAAATAACAAGCACACCTATTTATCTGCCAGTATACCTCCCACTCCAGTCGTTTACCTTGGAGATGTTTTTTCCTTCAAACTACTCACTGCTGAGAGCTCAGCATCAACTGGCAACTTCAAATCATGAATAACCTGAAATTAAGGAGCGCAGTCTTAGTCTGCAATATACAGAGAGAATTATGCAGGTGCCTATTAACTATGATATGACAGTCTGAGTCTAACATATTTAATTCTACCAAAAAGTTTACTCATTAACAGCCAATAGCCAACCGTTAGTCTTATACAGTCAGTTATGTCTTGCACTAACAAGGCTTTGACACTTTGGGATTTTGCAGCTGTAGCATGTGCCTAGAAGCAGGAGTTGGAATTTCCTTTTACATAAACAGCCACTGGGAAGGTAAATTCTAAACAAAAAAGGTGGGCACCAGCCTCCAGAGTTCACACTGAGCAAACAAATCCATGAAGAAAGGAAGGATTGGAATTCCTTCCTGGGTCAGATGAGAGAGACCAAGTTTCTTCACATGGAAAGCAATAAGTGACTGCAGTTTGAAAAAATCAAGCTGCATGCAAAAATGGCTGGTGACCTATTGTTACTTTTTTCTTCTTAACACAAGGACTACAAAGACTCCAAATCAAAGAGCCAGGTGACAGACTTAGAATGACAGAGGGAACAACTCTATACACACCTCATTACAAGTACCAGAACATGGAACAAGCTGTCACTACATATGACAAAGTACAGATGTATACAAATACACAATGAAAACCCTTAACCCCTACATGCCCAGGTTCTTAGGCTTTTCCTGCAAGCACCTTCTCTGTTGACACAGACAGGAAACCTCAGTGCCAGGAGCTTTGCTCTGATACAGTACAGCAGGTATCGTGCTCCTACAAGCAGAGGCTATGACAGGGAACAAGCATAGATGCAGAGGCCTGGACCAGGAGAACAGACTGAGCTCTGGCATCATTCATTCAGTGTGAAGGCTGGAGAGCTTTACAATGGGGAAGACTTGAGTCTAAGATCTTGAGAACACTAAGATCTTGAGAACCCTTTCACACAGTACTGGCTCAGCTTCCTGTCATTCCCCTCCATTTGCCATTGCCAATAGCAAGCTCTTTGAGACTAGGCCCACCTTTTTTGTTTCAATTGAGTCACAAGACTGATTTGTGACCAAGGTCAAATTTAGACTGGCAGTGCATGTGTGGAGATGGGTTGGCAGAGTACATGACTGTAGAAATTTCAATATTTAAGTCAAACTAAGAAAACATCATGGAAGCTTTCAACACAAATATGAGTTTGTTCTTCACAAAAATTTCACAGTAACTACCTGAGCCAGATCACAGTAGGTTCTTGTATTAGGTGTAATTTTTAATTCCGTTGCCATCCTAATGGCACCATTCAAGGCTTTTCTCTTCTCTTCAATTAACTGCTTAGCTTTTGCAACATCAGCACTGTAGTTGTTGATGCCCTCCACTAATTCTGCACACAGTTCCTTTTTCCTGTATTAAAAAAATATTACTTTTCAGAATTCACTAAGTACTCAGCAGTGCAAATACCAACTTTGCCTATGAAGTACAACTGCCACTTATACCACAAAGTGGATGCATCTCACAGAAATACCATTATTCTTATAGTTAGGTGCAGACAGCACAGAAAGCTAAGATAAATCAGGGGAAGCAGAACAGTTCACAGCCGTGAGCCTTTTTCTGTGAAGAAACTTTGTTTAAGAACACGTCCACTGAAGCCTACAGGTACCTCCATATGCATCCAGCTGATAATCACAGAAAGTCCTGAGTTGGAAGGGACCCACAAGGATCATCAAGTCCAACTCATAAAAAAATTATAAGCTTAATGGTTGGATTAAAGATTAGATGCCCCTTGCAGAGGTACTACTGTACTACTAAGCTTTGCAACAGACATGCACTGCTTAAAGTACTGCTTTAATGTATAAAAAGCTGAAGACAAACATTCTTTAAAAGAATCATTGTTCTTTTTTTTTTTTTTAAACCAACTTGAACACTTGCAGAAAGCCTTTATTCTTCAAGTTATTCTCGTTAAACTAATCATTACCCTAGTGGCAGCATCACCCCCACCCCCCAAGCTATTTCAGGAAAAAAAGTCATTTATGCTATTCTGAGATTTTCTTTGAAAGCAGAAGCTGAGGTTACTACTGGTTTCCAACCACACAAGCTAGCTTCAAGAACTAGATACCACTATGAAAGAATACTGTGTAACAGTTAAATACAGGTATTATGAAGTACTGTAGTAAGAAATCCTGGAATGTAATTCTTTTATCTGAAGAACTCGCCCATTGCCCCCTATCTCACAGATGAGAACATTACCTTGACAGGACAAAAGTTACAAGCTCATCAAATTTTCTATCTGCAGTTTCTGCAACTTTGTCTCCTTCCTGCTTCATTTTCAATTCGAAGCACTTCAGCATCTATTCCATTCAGTATAGAGCGAACATGTTTATTCATGATTTTTTAAACTCAAAAAACAGAACAGAACCAAAGAATGGCCAAACAGCGATGAACACTCCAGCATGAGGAATTAACACTAAACTGTGCTGTGATTGGTACAAAGGAGAGCAAACCAATCAGAGGATCATTACACAAATACAATGGAAGAATAGCTATAGATCATTAATCATTTTGTTTTCTTTGACTTTTAGTCAGCTTGCACTGTCTGGATTTTCATGGCCACTGAAGTGACCAGATACAACAGGCAAAAAACAGAAACTGGAACACAAGTTCTGCCTGAGCACCAGGCAGCACTGCTGTGCTGGGTGGGTGACGGAGCCCTGGCACAGGCTGCCCAGAGAGGCTGTGGGGTCTTCTCCTTGTGGATCTCCAAAAGCCGCCTGGACATAGTGCTGGGCAGCCTGCTCTGGGTGTCCCTGCTTGGGTAGGGCTGGCACCAAGTGGCCTCCAGAGGGCCCTGCCAACCCCAGCCATCCTGGGATCCTGTGATCTTGGGCCCACTGCCCCACTTTCTTCATGACATTCTAACACAGCACCATACACAGGTAGTTAGCAAGCTAAGGTTCCTACTGTTTAAACTCACTGTGAGCACCTAGAAAAAAAAAGTAAAATTATTCCTGCAGCTAAACAGGTGGTTTCTGTTGCTATAGCTACATCTAATGAAGAGATTATGGGGGAAAAAAATCTCAGTAATACAACTGCTTTGGCGATACTCAGCCTTTGCGGACAAGCTGTTAGAAGACCCCAGTTGTAAATGCATGAGTTGTTAGAGCTGCTGAAATGCAAGGATTTTACAAGATGCAGTTAGTATCTGAAGCAGGTAGTTAACCTAACTTTGCTTAACTGGCAGATCAGCCACTGCAACAAAACAAGTTAGAGAGGGAATAGAAAGTGGGTTTTAGTGACTCTCCATGCCAAACAGAATGATCCAAAAGCTTAAAGTAAAATCACTAAACACCTCCATGCCTGTGTATCTTAGAATACAAATGGAATGTAAAATGGTAGACAAATGCAAGCCGTAACACCTTTTCTTTTCTACCTTTAAATCCAAGAAGCAAGAGAAAACACGAATTAACTTAGCTGCCAAAGCAAAAGCAAGTGTGATTTCACCCTGATCTGAGGAAACAAACTCAGTACTTTCAGTTTTGCTTATACATGGTTGTGTCTAATACAAAGATATACCTAGGAACAAGTTACAGACATGCTCAGGTACTCCTCACAGTCCAGAGTTACGTGCTGTGTATTCACAGAAACAGTCCAAACAGCTGAAGTACAGAAGTTTAAACATGCTCTTAGTGCCTTTAACAGTACATTTCCGTGCAGTACTCAAGACAAAAAGCTTTAATCAAGGCTAGTACATAACATTTCAGGATTTCAATATTTTCACCTACCTCATCTGCATCTTGCAAGCGGCTGAGATTACAAATACCTATCCACAAAGCTTCAATGATGTCTTCCAGAGTTTTGTTTTCCTGGGGAATGAAAGCAAGTTGATTGGAAAGATAGGCTATACACAGTTCCAATTTTGACAGACTTGAGGTAGGTGATCCTAGTGAACTTCATATGTCTCTGACTAGCTCCACAGCTGCTAACAGGCATGGAATAGCTTGTAAACATAATTCAGGTGGGCTAAGAACATTACTTTGGAGTATCTGACTGACTCTGTATAAGATTTTGCTAAATACATAAATATTTGCATGCATACACAAAAGAATAACAGAATCAAAGGAAGCATACAGAAAAAACAGGACAAAGTCCCAAATACAATGCAAAGAAAGCATGCAGGAGAGAATAAAGGAAATTCTGTGGCTTAGAGAGAAGTGCTGCATTAAGGAGTTTTACTTGGGGGAAAAAAAAACAGCAAGAAACTGTTATAAACTCCGTGTAATGCTGATGTAAGAGCATGAAATTCTCCAGTATGAACTGGAATAGAAGCAAATGTATACACATAAGTGTATTCTTCCACCACTGACATTACTGAAGTTTGTGTTAAGAGGGCTGGCATTTTGCTAACTGATCATCATCAGTTGAAGATGCCTCAAAGAGTCAGGGCTAGTACTAGTAAAGTCTGTCGCTATTGGGAAACCCATTTCCAGTTAGATGTCTGTTAAGTTGCCTTTGGCAAATATCTTCATTTCTAAAGGGTTACTTATTAGGTAAGAAATACAAGCTAAAGAAAAATTAAAGCTCAAGTTTGAAAACCTGGAACAGTTCTGCCTCTGATCAAACAATCAGATAGGTGGATGAAAGTGCTGCCATAGCATGATCTTGAGTTTTTTTTGTTTTTTAAGATGCTTGTTAATACCTTCATCTCTAGAACAGATACACAACTAATGGAGCTGATCAGCTCAGATCAACTATGTCTCCTCTTCAAGAGAATGTTAAGAGCAGAAAATCCTCCAAGTATTATTCCTAGCACACTTAACCTCCAAGTTACAAGTTCCAACAACAACCAACCTGAAGACATAAAATATAAGGAGACATAAGGTTAAAGCACATGGAGTAACATATAACCCATCTACTTCATGGTTATCATTATGGTGACAATAAATAAATATCCTTTCAAAACATGGATATTGTGAGGAATGTTTTAACAATTCCAATTCGTGTCCATAAATTCGTGTCCATAAAGAATAATTCTGTTGGAATCCTGTCTGCCTCTGGGCCCTGCACTGGCAATTTAGTTCTTGAACCACAGATGCAGTGTGTCCCAGTCTCCCCCTCATTCTAGTCAATTTATCACGTCTTCAGAAAACACTCCTTAAATTTGTGAACCTGTTTGCTTTTGTTATTCCGGACTTCTATTTCTAACAGTTACAGCCTTTTTTCCTGTCTTCTTCGAGATTAACTTAACACTGCTATAGATGTGTCTGTGAATGGCTGGGGAAGAATGTTTTAATTACTCGTGAAGCGTCAAATAAGAAAGCTGTTTGTGTTTGATGTCTGGGAGTTTCAGAACAACTGATAACAACTAGTGACTGTTATGAGATCCTTGGTATCTGGCCAGGGGGGCCAAGAGATTAAGAGGAAGAAAAAAGAAGCTGAAGGACGGTTGGGAGACAAGACCTGTGGAGAGTGTACAGAGAGTGTTCCATAAACTTGGAATAGTGCCGAGTAAGTACAAAGGGTGAGAGGAAGACTACGAGCCTTCAGCATGAAAGACCCCTAGAGACCCCCAGAGGAGACTGATGCGCATGCTCCAGTAGGAGGGACTGGACCCCGGAAGCTAATTATAATAATCTATTTTTTTAGAAGTAGTAATGAATATGTATTAGTCTAGGTGCATAAAAATCAGCTGCTTGATGTAACTGGTGTGCGTCCTGGTGGAGCAGAGACTCCCGGTGCACCCAGCGCTGTTTGCTTACCTCTATTCCTTTATATTCTTTTAATAAATCCTATTTTTTTATTTAATCCTAATTTGAATCCTGAGCCATTTATAACAGTATTCTCATAAAGTGATCTAAGAAGTGATCCTGCCAGACTTTGAAGTCACCAGCCACAAATAAAGTACCCTGGAGAAAATAATGGAAAAACACAAAAGCAAGCAGAAGTTCATCAAGATTAGACTATGATCTCAAGTTACTTTGATGGAAGTTGCTTTTCCATCCTTTGAACTCATGATGCGGACACCATTCTCAACTTTCTCAAACAGACAGCTTCTGTTCACGGAAGTTCAACTACCATCAAAGGACTGCTTATGACCTCAAACATGATATACTCTGAAGATGACTTCAGATGATTTGGTTTAGTATTTTATAAACATAATATATTGAAGTTTAAGATAACATGATTCAGATTTATTTCTGATAAATCTCCCAAAGATGTTCAGAAAAGAACAATTTTCACACTTTAACAGGCACTAACAAAAACTGTATTAGAAAACAAGCATATGCAATTAAGATACTTTCAAGGTAACCATACAGGAGAGTCTCCATGCAAGAACATGGGATTGGCAGAGGATGTTCCATTAATTCCCATTTTATTGGAACTTTAAAATATGCAACAAGCTAGCTTATTTGTTGCCTTGAACTTCACAAACCTCCTTCAGAAAGATCACGTTAGAAAACCTAACAATGTTTTCACAGATCCATTTGTCCCATCATGTTGCCTTGATAAACCACTAGACTGCTTTAAGGATGCCCTGCAGTTGTCCTCTATTTGAAAAGAAAACCCCAAAATCAAATACTGTGAAACTTTTTTTAAGTTCAAAACACCTGATTGTTCAGCTGGCTGTGCTGTCTTCCTCAGCTACAGCCTGGTTAGGTGTGAACAGCATTTTAAATAAAACGAACAAACTTCAGTCAAATTATTTTGTTAACACCATAGTTGTACATCAAACCCATACCAGAATAGAAGAATAGCACTTAATAGTTAAGGTTGCAGGTTTGTGTGTTTTAAGAAATGCAGTATTAATTATGCTTACAAAAAAAGTAACAAAAAGAAATTCAACGTTAACGCACCGTGTCTGCTGATGGAGCTACACCTGGTTTACAGCTTAGCCCACTATCTGAGGAAATCAGGCACTGAACACCTTTCTCTTCGGTGTTGGAACTGAAGGGCCTGCAAAACAGAACTTTAAGGAAAAACCCACCCACATAAAATAAAAACAAACTTCCCTGAAAGATGTTAATACACTATTTGAGCATTTCAGAATTTGTCATTAAGCACATGTGCACAACTGTTCTTAGAACAGTTCAGTTTACACGGTCATGTTCTAGACATACCTCATTCTTTTGAGAAGGTCCCTTCCTACCAGCATCACCTTAAAATTCAACTGTATCATCTATTTTAGCTTACAATTTATCTTACAAAAAAAGACAGGAACAAAAGCTTACAACACAGTAGTGATTTTTCACTCCGATGAAACTGAAATGCATGCCCATTAATATTCCAAGATTCACTTCTGTTGCCCATGTATTTTCTTTTAGCTATCCCATCAGGTATTAGGCTGTTTAAGTTCTTCTAGTACAAGGCAGATTATACCAAAACAATACAGGAAGCCTCTTAAATTCTGTTGTCTGGTCATACGGCTCTCTTGTGAAGTACATGGTAGCGGTAAACAGCTGTCAAGACCCTCACAAAAAAAGCCTGCAAAGAACAACTGAACTGCAGTAAGGAAGCAGCGTTGTTTCTTCTACAATCCACTTTGTTTGATGGACTGTGAGAGGACTTGGCAAACACTGCTGCACAGGCTGACACCCATACATGAAATCTTAAGTTTTATTTTGGTCAAGTTTAGGTGCAGATAAGATGGTAAGATGCATCAATCTCAAAATATTAATTCCCATGCATCCCTTACACTCATCTAACAAAACCCTAAGAATTACCTGGAACTATTTTTATATGAAGATGACTCTCCATGGCAACAACAGTCAGGGAAACACACCCTCTTTTAAGACTTCAAGTTCACATAGCCTAGATAGCTAAGTAAATGTAATACGACAATACCAAGGAACTTTGCCAGCATCTAATTTTGGTATTTCTAGTAATTGGTTACCTAAGCAGTAGGTGCAATGGTGCCAGTAGCAGCTGGAGATGCACTCTTATCACAGAGTTACCACGAACAGCATTTAAAACCTTCAGTCCCAAGTACTTCAAGTTAAACCAAGCCTGTTTTTTCCCCCCTTTCAATGAAATACTACTCATATTTAGATGTTAGAAACACAGGAGGCCCTCAGTGCTTGTCTGATGCCCTCAATTAAGTTGTGTTTTGGTTGCACCAGGCAGCCATCCTGAGAACACATTGGTAAAGTTTGTTACATTAAAAAACAGAAGCAAAAAAATCAGCTGGAGAAATATTTCTGGAATTTCTTACTCAGTCAATTCCCACCCCAGTGTGGCATCTAACCACATTAAAAAGTTAGGCTTACCTTCCTAGATCTTCTGAGCTGCTACCACTCAATCCAAGTTTAACATCCAATTTGGGCTGAATTCAGAGGGAAGAGTAAAACAAATTCAAATACAGGGTAAAATCAAATTCCCACTGTAAACAGCCTACAAACCCCTTCTCACCTTCAGCAAACCACCCCCCACCCCACATATTCCAATAAGGCCAAGCTTCAAAACTGAGCACTGTTGATCGAGCAACCTATTGTGCAACAAAACAGATTCCAAGCTGAAGTTTGTAGTCAATATATCCTTGCAGTAGTGTTTCTAGTAAATGGAATGGCAATTTCCTGTTTGCTCTTAGTACTTTTCCCCACTGTTACGCCAAACTAGTAAGTGCTTCCAGTATACTGCAACAGTGAACTTGATTTATTTTTCAGTAATTTTACTGAAATAACTTCAGTAGAGTTTAATGACTTGGTTTAATTACCTTGAATATTTGTGTTTTGCAATAGCAGCTGAATTTGAGTTTCACAATGGAAGCACCAGAATGGCCACACCCTACCTTTTAGATTACATTAAAAATACCTTGAAAAAAAAAAATGCAGTTTGTCCAAAATGGCATTAGGATGTTGTAACACAAAGTATTCACAAGCAGAGCAGTTTTCTTATGTTGAAAGAGAGAAACATTCATAAGGCACACGGTACTGTTCAAACAGAAATTGTCTTTTAGAGAAATCTTCTCTTCACTTGGGAACTGACAGGGAGAGTTTTTTAAATACACATTTATACCAATTCTTTTTTGCACATTTATGTGCAGATGAGAAGCTAGAATGGAGTCAGCAACAAAGGACAATAATTGTAAAACAAGTTTTTCTAAAACCAGACTTTGGACAACGGGTGAGCACTTCACAGGGATATTGCACTGCTGGAAATGCTAGCAAAGACTTGCTGGCAGAGCACAAGTCTACGAAGGGCACACACTTCTCTGACTGGAGCCAGGCTTCAGCCACTTTCCATAGAAGCCTAGAGAATTCTGTAATACCATTTTGGAGCACTGCAGTAATTTCAGAACAGAAAGATTTACATCAACCTACCTCTGTAGAAAAGGAACCAGAAAAATCAGTCTCTTCATCCCCATCACTGATCTCTACAACAGCAAGCACAGGTAACATTTGACTGTGAGTGTTTAAGCTGGAAGGCATCTTAACTGGTGACACAAAAATGAATACATGATCACTACAATAGTTTTCTACAAATACATTACATCAACAGTAAGCCCAGATATGTAGATATGAAAGTTTAGATAGAATTACAGAAATTTACCTACCTTTAATGATTTAGGGCATTATCTGCATGATATGTATGTTATACTGCTGCTACATGAGGGACAAGAAAACCACATGGAAAAAAAGGCAAAAAGGCAAAGAAAACACATTGAAAATGCGTAGCCATATTGCAGGAAAAGACAAATTTCATGAAGCCTCCATAGATACTAGATACTCAAGATTTTACAAACAACAAAGCAAAAAAAAGAAAAAAAATCAAATCTGGCAGCTTGTTTATTATCTTTGTGAGACCACCTGAAACTTGAGAAATCTGGAACAGTGAATATTGCACAACACAGAATTGCTGGCAATATAAGTCAAGAACCAAAAATCTCACCTTTCACACTTGTATCATTTAATATACAACACAAGTCACTTCTGTGACTTTCTTCCGTTAAGTCCTCTTCCAGTATCTTAAGGCACTGCCTTCAGAAATAAAAGCAGAAGTTTAAAATCTTTAGAGACATAAACCAAACATGAATTCTAACTCCCAGCTCTTAGAACTAAGCTCACTCGCTTTTTACCAGATGACATTATGCAGAAAAAAAGATTCAGTTAATGAGACATAGAGCACTTGCACAGAACAATTATCCTCTTCTAACTCAAGGCAGATCATTACCTCCAACGATACTGAGTTTACTGCCCATGAAGGTGATACTGAAATTTTTAAGCGACCAGAACCAGTTTTCAGAGTCACTAGAACCACCGCTAACTGGCTATGTAACAATTTAAATCAATTTGTTTTATGTAGTTATTTAACCAAAAGCATATTGAATGTATCAATGCCTTATTTACTTGTAAAATACCTAGATCAATAGAAGATATTGGTAACCTAATAAGCCAGTATTTGAAAACATCCCAAGAATCATTTAAAATGTCATTCCTTGAAACCTTTACCAAAATCTAAAATACTAAGAACTCTGAAACTCTAAATTCAACCTTTCCTTTCCCAAATTTTAAAACTTTATGCATGCCATTACTGTACATCTTCATACATAAAAACTCATCTGCAACAACACACGATTCAAACATTACTTCTATGCTTCTTCAGTGCTACTTCCTAAAAATTAGAGGCAGAACAGAAAGAACATGAAATCACTAGAGTAGTCTTAATGTTTACATGCCTTATAGCTTCCAATTTTCTTCTTGTAAGCTCCTCACCGCTGCCATCCATCGAGTCCTTTCTACTCATCGTGTGCCTGACTTTAGAAGGAAAAAAGAAGAGAGAGACTTACTTCAACGTGCACATTACCTCACTTAACTAAATATAGATTACATCCCTTTGTAAGGATTGAAAGGAGAATAAGGAGACATGGAATTATCGTGAGGTGTGTTTGCCTCAGAAATCTTTTAAGATTAACAGAAGGCTGGTCCACCTGCCTCATGCTGCCCAGATACCCCACTAGACACACCCCAACCCTTACCAGTACGGGTTTCACAACCCTTTCCTGATGGTTTACCTGCAGGCACAGCCCCAACACGGCCGCCTTTCCTGCGGGCCCCCACCGCTTTATAACGGGACCGCACCGAGACCGCCAGACAACAACCTCCGCCACCTCACAGCTCCGACGCAACACCACCACACACTGCCCTTCGCGCGCCAAGATAGCGGCCCTCTCCGCCAATCAGCGAGCGTCTCGTCAGCCCGCCTGCCCCTTTCAGCCAATCACAGAGAGGCGGGGGGGGAGGGCGGTGCTCGCTGCGGCCCGGGCGGGCGGGCTCCGCCGCCATGTTCTTGCCTTGAGGCGAGGCAAGGCGGGGCTGTTGCGAAATGGCGTCCCAAGGGCTCGGCTGGTGACCGATTTTGAAAATGGCTTCTCCTTTTCTAGGAAGCTTCGGGGTTACTTTATTCCAGATTTCTGTTTAATTCACCTATAGTAAAGTATAGTTAAACACACTGATATTCTCTCACAACTTTTAGACACTTTAAGTGCCAAATCATGAACTAAGCCAGCTGTCAAAGAAGCAGGTGTCCTAACAAGCCTTAGGTTATTCGAATCTTTGCACTGTTAGCACAGTAAATCTAGGTTCTACCGCAAGACCTTAACAGTGCTAAAAAAAAGTGTTTGTTAGGTTGGGGTTTTGACTCAAAAAGGCAAAATTCAAAAAGTGATGTGAAATTTGCTTAGTCTTTATTCACAATACAGACTAGTTCAATGGAAAAAAACAAATGAACATGAAGAAAGAATCAGTAAAGTTCAAAATTACCCAATTCTATGGTGCTAGCTCCTCAACTACTTTTAGTAAATTAATTAATTGAATACTCATACTTGAGTATGCTTTGCAGCATGACTTGGTTGAGAAGAACAGAAATTTCTACAAGTTATCCTTAAGTTGATTCAGCGCTTTCCCTCAGAAGCCCTCTTTGTTAACCAGGACCTGATTAAACTCAACGTTGTATGAAATTCTCATAGAGACTTGTAAAATTTTATAGCAGTGCCTCGTGTCCAGTCTGCATCTCTTTGCTGTGGTTTGGCCTACAGAAAATTTGTTTCTTGTAGATTTAGTAAGGCTGAAGGCTTCTAGGAGGTTGGGAGGGATATTTGTGTAAAGATCTTCAAGTCTAGGTCCTCCAAGTAGTGACTGATCCAGCAGTCTATAGTAAATTTGAACTGCAGACAGTGCATCAGTGAGGCTAACATTTATCACCTGCTACAAAGACACCAAAACCAGTTTATATTTCAATTTTGAATAAAGATTCCCAAATACATTCCCTTTCCAGACAGCTCCAGCAACATCACAAACTGCTGCCTTGACCCTGGGGTTTTCCGTGTGCTCCACCAGATCTGCTGGCCAGGGAACCTTGCATTAACCAGTCCCTGCATCTCTTAACTCGCAGATGGCATCTTCTACACTTAGACTCGAAAAGTGGACTCTTAATAATTTCAACCCTGATTAGGTAGCCACCACCTTTTCATCAAGATTTTTCTACACTTGGTAAATAGCAAAGTGCATAAAAAATAAAGACGCATCACTGCAAGAACAAACTCACACGTATTACATCAAAAAGGCTGTGAGGCAGAAATGGGCCCTTAGATATTGTCAGATTTGTCAAGAAAAATACGATGCTGCTCACTGAAGAGGGCATTTGCCCAGTGAGGATACTCCCCAGGGAGGTAGATGACACCATTGAACAAATTAGGTTCAAACTTTCTTTAATACAAAAAGACCCACCCCTGCTGATTGTGCAGTCCCGGTTGCCATTTACCATCCTTATTGGGATGGTATTTTGAAACTCGATTACAACCAGCACTGAGAGGAGTCCATTGCAAAATTGCCCCACAACCTACATGACAGACTTTAACGAAGCATCCAGTCTCTATTAGGTGAACTCTAGTGGGTTGACATGTTTAATGGAAGTTACCAGGACTGAATAACAAATGTGACAGCTACCGATGGATTTCCACAGCTAGTACAGTGACTGCCATACCACAGCTGAATCAGTGGCAATGCTACAGACCTTGCAGATGTACCTCACCTAAAATACTCATCCCCAGCTTGTTCTCTGTGAGACTGCAAATCAGTATGTACAAGGCTGAAGTTGCACGTGTAATACAAATTCCTGTTACCAGTGTTTTTCAGAGTCAATCTCCAAAGTAGTTCTACAAAATATCAAAAGACAAGGATGAGAACTGAAATTCATATTTCTCCTTGACATCAAAATTCATAGACTCAATTTAGATACTGGTTCCATGGCATTTCATCATTTTTGCATCTTCAGTTAATTCATGTTTGACAGATGACAATTAACTCTCTCGTTTTCCGACCCACAGGAGCTAATCCCCCTCCTCCTGCACTGTAAATACCAGTTGTCTTTTCCCCTTTGATTGTCCAACCAATTATCTCAATGAAGTAAAAATCTTAGGAGTTTTCTCAGCTTCAGTTTAGCTTTGAAAATTGCTTCCTGTGTTTCAAAGGTGACAAAAGACTTGTGCACACAAGGTTTTGTTTTTATGTTCCATAATCTAAGCTAATTCCTGCTTAAAAAAAATCCTCTATTAATGCTACCTAAGAACATTGTGAATAATGACTGAAGTGTAAAATGTAGGGTAGGTGATGACAGACTTGTTTTGAATGTAGCTGAGAAAAGGAAACTATAGGAAAGATTATCTGAGTTAAAGGTCTAAATGAAATTTTAAACCAGCAGTGTCTAAGATTGTCTAGAAAGTAGCCTAACTGTCTCTGATGAGAAGCCTAATTAGTCCTAATTAGCTCTTTGGCGGGATGATAGTGCATCCTTGCTTTTATTTTTAGTTGCATTTAACAAATGAATGAACAATAGCAACAAATGCTCATGATAGTTAAGATTTTTCTGCTAATTAGTTTTAGTATATTTTTACTATTTTCTGCTGCTAGCTAAAATTCATAACATATAGCCATGCATACTATTCTCTACACCTCCCCCCACAAATTACAAGGAATTATAAAATATATACATACATGTTATTCTATCTATCATGCGTGTATTGTTTGTATCTTTGTCAAAATATACATACAGTGACCAAAAGCTGCACCCCTTCAGTTTTAGGTTCATACCACTCTGAGAATCTGATCACAAGAATGGCGATTTGGTTTAATATTTCAGAAAAGACCACAGTAAACATACAGAAAAGAATGGAGATTTTCTGTCTGTGCCACCAGCTATTGAGAGAACATTACCATGGTTTCTGGATTTTACAAGATAATATTTAAAATTCATTGCAAAACGTCAGTGCTTCTATTTGGGAACCACGAGATGGCAGCATGGATCAACCATGGGTGTGCTCACCGGTCCTGATGCCTTCATTTGTGTGATCTCGGCCGCTTCTGTAGCTTTGTCTATAGCAGAAAGGACACTGTACTGCAAAGACAACACTGAATAGACTGTCTTCGGTGTGAACAGCATAGTTATATTTTAAAATCATCGTCAAATATGGGTTGAAAATGCATATATATTCTGTAGATCAGCTTCCCAGCCAGGAACACGTAGCAGTTTTTATTTCTTCAAATGCATCCTTTTTTTCTCTTCCTCTACATCTTTCCCTTTCTCCAGAAGAGTTTCTGCTTTCAAAATTTAACCATTAAATGCACTAAAAATGGACTCTTTAGACTCCTCTTTTTTTTTTTTTTTTTTTTTTTTTTTTTTTTTTTCATTCTGCAAATATGTGTCTGAATTAATTGGTATGTGTAATCATTGGATTTTTTTCTGTAGTACATCCATGTGATTACATGGTAAGTAGAAAAACAGTTTTCCCCTAAATGTTATGGGAGGGGCTGCACTTGTGTTAAAAGAAGAAAGGGGACCCTCTATCTTACACTAGAAAGGGTCAAAAGCAGTGTTTGTAGGTAGTAGATGTGCAGGTTTATTGGAAGTAGAATTTCGTCAATGATTTCATAGGATTAACAATTGAATTGTCCAGTTTCTAAGGTTTACACAAGCTAGACAAATAATCTTAAAACACTGTGGTCTAACAGGAAGACACTGGTACATGAGGGAGTGCACTGTACTTGCTCTCAGCTCCTCACCCACAGTTTCTGGCTCATAATATTTTTCTGAAGTATCCCAGGTTTAGGTTATTTATACTATAAAAGCAATCAGGCTTTTCAAGAGCATCAGGCATTTTGTTAGCCAGTATGTACATATTAGTGATTTTTAAACTGACCCAATTTGCATAATTTCTGCTGTAACGCTATGGTTAGTATTTTCTTCTCTGAATCTTCTCCTATCATTATAAGTAGTTAATTTTCTACGACAGTATGAGCTGGCTACTGTCATTCTAGTAAAAGTTTATGTTTACTCATCTTCAGCTAATGTGTTGATCTCATCACTGTGCCTAAAATGACTTTTTATGACTGGTTAAGGTTGATTGAAACCTATGCTGTTTCTGAAAAGGCGTTCCTGGCCTTTTTCTGGTCCCAGGTGTGTGTTTACTCTTCCCCTGTGTTACCACTAGTGCTTCTGGCCATGAAGTGAGTTGGATCCATTCCACTTCATGCACACATCCTTGCATTTAACCATGCAGTCAGTGGCTGTTCTTACATGGGCATTTCCTCATAGTAGCTGTTACTCATTGCTTACATTCAGAAGCTACTATTTATCTGATTCTCTACTCATGAATTCAGTTGCAGAGTGTGGCATCAGTACTGAAGTGAGGCTGCTTTCATTACATTTTTTTATTGTTCTTTCTTACAACTTGTAAGAAATTTGCCAAATCTGTCTTCAGATATATTCATAGTTAAAATATTACATGAAAATTCATAGGTATCAAAGATCTTGATGAAAAGTATTACTGTGATTTTTGTAACACAACTTTTACATTTGAAGCAAGCTCTCATCCTCTAATACTCATCTTTCAAGCTTTTAAGTGCGACTGTTCCACTGTCCTTGTTTAAGCTCCAGATGCTTTGCTGTGCAGGGAAGTGGCAGAGGTTGGACTGTGAGTGAGCTCTGCCTCTTGTGTTCAGTTGCTGACTTCGGGAGCCCAGCAGAGGTGAGGCTGTTGCAGCTCCGTGCCTCCAGGTCCAGCCACCAGCAAGGCTGAGCACATATTCCCAATTTTATTTACTTTTATTGAAAAGACTATGACCACGTAGCATGAATAGAGAAAAGATAACTGGAAATAAAGACTCCATAAACAAGTAGAAGACATTTTTCTGACTTCAGCTTTCAACTTCTGAAACACAGCATTTTCTAGCAAGGCAGAGAGTTGGGCCCTAATATAGAACTCAGTATCACAGAGAGAGACTGCTGTATTCTGTGAGGTCTGACTGAAGGCTTTTGTAGGCACTGAGCTTTATCTGGGGGCTTTTCAATTACATTTATGAGTATGTAGATGTCTAAAAGATGTTGACATCTTTCTGAAACGCGTGTTATAGATCAGCCACTCTTACGCTCACAGAAAATGAAATTCTGTCTCTAGGCAAACCAAGTTTTCTCTTTGATTTCAAAATCTTAAAGAAACTTGGTTTCCCAGTATTTATTTTTTTTTTATATCTGAGATTCTTCTTCATGAAATATTCTTTTTAGTCAAAATCTTTGGAATATAAATTACTGTTTAGTTAGTACAGAATAGAATGTGTATGTATGTTCTTAGGTTCTAAACACATAGCTGAGAGGAGCATGCTGGTGAGTAGGCTTGTAATTTGTTTTTACTCAGTCATATAACGTATCTTTAAGCTGCTCCTTTATCGTTGAGATGATTTTAAAATATAGCTCTAAAAATACTAAAGGTACACAGAGCCTTCAGGAAACTTTACTAGAGCCTAAGGAATAGCAGTATTTGAATAACATGTGAACCCAACACTGACAAATGCAAAGCAACGCTTTTTGGAGACAAATATTTCAACTGCATACATGCTTGTGTATTCCAGAACAACCAGAAGCTCTCCAGGAAAGAAAAAAATAACACCAAACAACAGAGCATGGCTCTGTGCAGCTGCTTTCTGAAACCAAGTGGGATGAGAGACTACATTAATGGTGTTTCCATAGTCTGTGGAATATAATGTTGCAGAAAATATTGTAATGCACCATGCTGAGAAGACTGCATGTAGTTTTGACTGCCATAGATCTGCTCATGCATGGAGGAACAACTCGAGCCATGTTTCACACAGCTTGTTTGCAAGACAGTGAAGACACAGTAACCTGGGCAACCAGATGGTCTGGTTTACAGTCCACAGTGAAGCTTGCAGTGTTGTCTTTTTTTTGTGTATTACTGTCCAAACTAACTGGATCCAGGGTAGTTATACGCAAATTGTAACCACATGCCACACTGTAGCATGTTTGTTTTTCAAAGATGAAAATTATTAGCTAGTCAAATTCAGAGGTCTTGGAGGCAAAGGCTTAAGAGAAACATAACCACTCTGTTATGTCTGTGTGGTCTCTTCTTCTATCAGTAGAGATTCTGTATGAAAAACATGCTAGGAGGGAGATTTGGTCATAACATGCGCTGCAAATTCGTGTGCTAAGGCTATGAGTAGTCAGAATGACTCACCTGAAATGGGCAGAGAAAATATTTATTCTGTTTTCCTTCAAGGTCTTTCTGGTCAACATCTATGCATTATACACCATGATGGAGTCTGAGATAAATGCCATGATCTGGTCCTATGATTAAGAGAACAAACATTGACTGGGATAGTAATACTGGTTTTATTTGTGAAAATGGGAAGAATGTGAGATACAAAGCTGTGCCAGGGGAGGTTCAGACTGGACATTAGGAAAAATTTCTTTACCATGAGGGTTGTCAGAACAGGACAACCTGGAACAGGCTGCTTAATGATACAGTTGATGCCCCTTTGTAGGTGGAATTACCCTAGAGACACGGTTCTGCCATGACCTTCATCCAGTAAGCTATATGCCTAACTTTAGGACTATTAAAATTTTTCTTCAATCAGTTTGCATCTTTGAAGCCAAAAGGACTATTCATATCTCTAGGCTAGGTATTCATGTTTAAATATCTTGTTTAGCAATGATTTTTGTATAGTGTACCTGATTTTCATTTCATTAGTTAGTTTGTTTGTAAAGGCACATTCAGGATCTGGAACTGTGATTATAAATTTGTGAATCTCACTTTTGTTTTTAATCAGTTTCTGGGCATTTCCCAGTTTTGATTTTCATGTTGTAAAGGCTGAGGTTAGGCACATCACAGGAGATGCTAGATGAAAGACCTGAATATGAGAGCAGGTCAAATACCATGGGGAAGCTGAAATTCTGTTAGTCTCAGTGCATTTGGCTCTATCTATTGGGGATGAGACTTACCAGATACTACATGTGACATCAAATCTGTCAGCTCCCCTTACTTCCCTTTTGGATTTTAGTAGTTCCTATTTCAACAGTCAATGGTGCTAGAGCTGGTGCTGTATACACTCTTACATATATAGTTTTCAAACAGAAACTGTGTCAAGTTTTCATTTGTTTTAATTTGTGGGAGACTGACCATTGTAAAATCAATGTGAGAGCATAAAAGGAAACTTTCCTTAGTAGGAAGAACATCTCTAAGAACAATCTGAACACGTGATGATACATGTTTTCATCTCTTGAAGCAACCAGAAAATTAAAAATTCTTAAAGTTAAAATTGTCCTGTATTTTTCAGAGTCTGAAATGAGGATTCATTTGGACGAATGCTTTTGCATTATTAATTAATTCTCAATTTCTTCAATAAATATAATGGTGTCTTTATTCATGCATGGATTTGCTCTTGTAGAGGACTAAATTGTGAGAAGATTATAGGAATCACACCTATGAAAGATGAAAGTATCAGCAGTACTCTTTCAGTCTTTGTACAGAAAGAGAGTTTCAGCAGTTCAAGATGCAAATATGCAACGAGGCTCCCTTCACAGCAGATTGTTCAAAATACGATTTACCATGTGCATAAGCTTCTCAGACATCACACTGGGCTGCTCAGTTTTGGACTCTCCTGCTGGAATTCTCTGGAAGTCAAATCCAGCAGCTTCTTTGTCTATTATAACCAACACACATAAAATAGTTGATTTCTTAATAAGGCATTTAGAGGATTTACTAGTTAGGATTCTTCATATGCATTGAAAATGGGGATTGATGAAGGGAGGGTAAGGACTATTCCAATGGTTAATAAAGTTGTGTCTGATGGTTTTGAGATTGGATGTTGAAACTCCTGAACTGAGAGTTCAGTACAGTAATCCTCCAGTAACTCCTTGTATGACCTCGGACAAGTTAGTTATTCTGTCATCAACTCCCCTTGCATATTTCGTCTGTTTTGTGATGTTTTGTCCAAAACTGTGGACAAAGGAGTTGGATGGTTAGTAGGAGTGGTAATACCCATGGGAAATAGCACATAATTCTGGCTCTAAATTCTGTTGCTTTACCAATAGTTGTGATGTTGCTTAACTGAACAGGATTACTTCCCTGTTCCACACCCATTCCAATCCCTGGCATTGTAATTACTATCAATTCTGCCTATGCTAGGAAAGGTATTTATGTGTTTTACTACAAGGTAAAGTTCTTAAGGTTTTTGTGTTATTCATATGTAAAGAAAAAAACAATGAGTAATGGAATCAATGACAAAAGGAAAATGAGAATTTAAAGAGACTGCTAGGCAAGTGAGACATATTCTCAGGACTGAGCGCATTTTAATTTTAAATCTGTCACACCCTACATAAAGTGTATTAAAAACACAATGAACACTATGTTTGTGGTCCCAGAGAAAGCTATGAGTGCATGCCTCCTGTACCTACTGTTCCCAGAAATGATCGCTGTATTGTTCTTTTTTTGGGTGCACATCTGCTGTTTGAGTGTTGCTACTGTGTATACAGCATATGGGAATTAACACACCGAGAGCTTTTGTTGAATCCAAAAAAAAAAATCTGTATTTTAAGTTTCACTTTCAAAGTACAATAAGAGAACATGAACAGAAATTCTCTTTGTTTACCTTGGCTGGTACTAATGGCTGCTTCCTTTTTCATGTAGCTGTCTGCCATTGTTTTTTTTTTTCTTTCTTTCTTTTTTTTTTTTCTGGAATATTGATTGAAATATATGGTTAATAACTTTTATTTGTGTATAAAACTATTGTTTAGTACATTCATATGATGCTGAGCATGAAATTGAGGTTCATAATTGCTATACAGAACATAAAAGGAAAAATGACTCCAAACCATGAGCAGGAACATACTCTTGTTCTTTGCAGTTGAAGTCAGAGATAAAGATCACTGTGAATGATTAGAAATATACAGATATTTCCATTGGGAAAGGCTTACATGGGCTATAACTCTGCAGTTTAGGATGGATGTCGCTGAAGGAACAGAGTATGTGATAGTTTTTTGTAGGAAGGCATGATTGCTCATTCCTTCTAAGTAACATAAGAACCAGAAGGGACGTGATGAAATGATCAAGTGACAGACTTACATTAAGCAAGAAGTACTTTAGAAAACAATCCATAAGTTAACAATAAAAATTAGTTCCTACAGATGAATAAATGTATTAAAATACTATCAGTCAATTTTATGGTCTGCGAATTAGACCAGAAGAACTATTAGACAGGATGATACAGACATAATCTGTCATAGCTCTTTTAGTCTCTATGTCCTGATAGCTAGAGAGTCTACTAAAAGAAGCATCATTCCACTCTTGCCCATATTTATGTTTTTGCTCTAACCAACCATTTATGGCCAAAGCAAGACATAAGGCCACTTTAACTAATTGTCTTTTGGTATGGACCAGTATATCTTTGCTTTTATTTCCATACCAATAGATTCTAACCCTGGTGATCAAATGAAGGCCTAATAAAAATTTAATATTGTAGAGTGATAATGGCACACAGTGCCTGTCTTTTTGGAGAACTACATCCAACCACAGCAAGATGATTCAGCATGCATAACATAAAACTTGTACACGCTTATTTCAGATACATGATTAGCTTTTCATGTATGTTTTAAATCCATTTATGATAACAGTATTTAAGTAGTTGTACATAATCTATTTGATAGCATGAGTAAAATACGTTTTGAGTGAAAAAATCCCAATTAAAATTTTGGTTGATGCCTTAACTTTAGCAGCGATGACACTGTTTGGACTGGGAATGGCAAAAAACTTCTCTTTACACGAAGATACAATCCTTCCACTGTAGTCTGATGGAGAGCAGTGAGAAATTTTGAAGAGCAGTTGAAGTACATGCCTACACGTCCTATAGCAGGCATTCTGGCACCTTAATTCAGACAAGAGCTTGTTTGTGAATACGTATCACGTGTCTCAGATTTGTACCATTCCAGAGAATATTTAACGAGAATTTATGACATACATTAATCACGAGACAAAAACCTCAAGATTTTCCAGTGTCTGTTTGTCTTGTGTGAAGGTAAGGCTTTGCTGGATTTTCTCTCCATGTTGCTTTCTCCATTTCTACAGTCCCACTTGTCAGGCTGAAATAATATGTGGAAGCTCTTCCCTCTAAATCACATATATTCCAGGACTCACTGGATTTCTAAACGGAAAATGCAAAACCTGTTCTTCCAAACTGAACCACATACACAGCCAGATTGGAGCACAGAGAAGTGGCTGGAACAAGGAGAAAAGCAAACCCAAGCTTTTCAAGCAGGCCTTGATTAAAATAATGGAAAATACCAGGAAATCAGAAATGCTAGGAATTCCTCTGAGTACATTTCCATGTACAAAGGGGCTCAGTCACATTCCAGGCAAAGCTGATCAGTTCATCCCTGGCCAGTTTTTTTCAGTCTTCCCAAACAGGTCACCAACAGTTCTGGATACATTTAGAACCCCAAGTCAAGTTGTTTTTATCCTGGAGTTGCTAATGAATCCAAGAAAGAGCCTAAAGTTTGGCTTGAAAGTTTATGCCTTTTTAATTTAATTTAATTTAATTTTATTTTATTTTATTTTATTTTATTTTATTTTATTTATTTTTTACTTCTTTTGGGTCAAGAGCTCTTAAAAACCATCCTTCCCAGACAGAGTTCTGTGTGGTCTGTTCAGTTGTGGCGTGTCATTAAGAGGTTGGTTCAGCAGTTTCTGGATGTGGACTTGAAGGAAGATTATTGCCAAACTGAAAGAAATGAGATATGAAAGAAAACACTAAGGAGAGAAAATCTGATAAAAAATGTATTAATCCCTGCCCAAAATACTCTGTTGAAAATTTTACCTGGTTTTATTTACCTTGTTTATTTTTTTCTGCTAACGTAGCAGTAGAAGCTCTTCTTAGGACTGATAAGAGTTTGTAAATTTTGTTAAGACTTGAGGCTAATAAGAACATTGTATTTTCCAGGTTCCCTGTAGTAATATGAAAAGGTTTGGCTTCAAAAGGAGTATCAACTTTTATAGATAATCCGGTTAAACTATGTCGTTCTGCATTATAACCTACCTCAGGCTGGGAAAAAGTAAAGATGGCAAAACAACAGCATGGCTTCATCAGATTCCTCCTGGAAGATTCACAATGACATCACAAGAAATGTTTTGAAAACATTTACAGGCCCTACCTGTGAATAAGTTGGCAAGAATGACATAGGACCCAGGGAAGAGCAGATTACCGTCTCTCTCCTACTTGTGATCATGTCTGCAACCCTAGCAGGCATTTGTTTTCCACCTCAAGAGTCAGTTTATAAGCACATGGATTCCTAGACGTTTGCAATGTGGACATGATTCATTGGACCATTCTCTTCTAATTAGTGAAGAGGAACAGGCACTTTTAGAATACTGGTCTCTGACTTCTCAAGGAGATGTTTAAAGCAAAGCAGATGAGTCACACTGCCTATCCTTCTCTGTTGACCATAATGGGAACTTGCAGAGACTAGCTGAGATAGAGACATCTACATTACAAACTTCAGCTGAATCCCACCCAAATGATTCTGTCTATTAATATGCCTAGAAAAGTTTTCTCTTCAGTCCAACCTGTATAAGTTCTCAGGCATTCTGTCCATGCACATTAACCATGTACTAGATTGAGGATTTATTAATGCTTCCTGCTTGACTGAGAGAAGACGGAAGTGTAATTATTTACTACACATGAAGGTTTGAAGAAGTGTGCAGAAAGTGCATTTTTCATGCTGCTGCATTAAAGAGACCATCCCCATGCTCCTGAATTCACATTTTTATCCACCCTGGTGGCAGACTTCAGATCTAGTTGAGCTCTTATAAAAATTTACTGTTTTTTTTTTTTTTTTTCCCCCCCCACAAATAAAAGGGATTGTGGTGCCATTACTGGTTTCTCTTCATCCAGGTTAACAACTACAGCCTACACTGTAAAATGTATTTGCAAATTTCTGTAAATTGAATTAACATATCTGCAGTTCTAGAAACATTCAATTAGATTAATAATATTAACTGAAATTACATGTCACCCTTTTTCCAAGATTATACAAATGAGTGCAGTCAGCTTTTATTTTATTTTATTTTATTTTATTTTATTTTATTTTATTTTATTTTATTTTATTTTATTTTATTTTATTTTATTTTATTTTATTTTATTTTTTGTTTGTAGCTATTGCTATAATTAGTTGATAAAGGTTTAAGGCAAACAATAAATAAAAAGCCATTGATAAGAAAAAGCTTGTTTGTGTTTTTCTAATAAAATACAGCATTTACTTACTGATGATTCAAGTGGCAGGTTACGTAAACATTTCTATTTCTGATCCTTTTAAGGCTTTTGTCTTTGACTATTAAGTGTTTTGTAGGGGAAAACATGATCACCATGTCGGCAATCTGCCTAGGATTTCAGAATGGCATGAAAATAAATAATTACACACAATGAAAACATTTAGGATATTACATTGCAATCATTTCATATCACTGGCAGATGTATTTCAGGAAGAAAAACAACATTACATAAAGTCTAATGGTACAGTAAACAAAGGGATTTAAAGACTGATGGATATTGCTCTCTTCTTTCCCTAGGATAAAGTATCAACTGTAATACTTTGAAATTAAGTTTTCTTTCTTTTTTTTTTTTTTTCTTCTTCTCCACAACAGAAATCTGCAGGTGGCTGGTAATAACTAATAAGACTTTGGCAATCTGTAATAGCTGTTATTGGGAAGAGTAAGCTAGAGGGACCAGAAAACCTAGTTTCATAGAGGGATTTCCCCTGAGATCACCTACCTGGATTTGTAAACATGGTACCTCAAACACCTGCATAATTATTATGAGGAGGAAGAAGGCTACTCAGTTCCACGTTCCAGGTTCCAGGCTTGAATAATACAGTGTCTGTAGTATTCATAATTGAATAAGTGTCTGTAGTATTCAGAATCCGAATGCAGCTTTTATTGCCCCTTTATTTATTTCTTTTGTCCTTGCTCTGACTACAATGCTAATACTGGCTTGAACTTCTGCCCAGAAGGAAAGGTTGAGTTATACACTGCATCAAAGGAAGAAGTGAAAATAATCATTAAGCTGCAAGATGACCTCATTTAATGTAATTAATCTGCTATGTTAAAAATGGTTTAGACATTTTTGATTTTCAGAAGTGCCACATTTCCACAAGGCACTAGCACTTTCACAAAACAATTCCTATGCCCATATATACATGTACATGAGATCATAAGCTTTTGATAGGTCATATGGAAGTTTACTGGTTTCTGTATTTTTAAATATTTAGCTTGCCCTGAGATCTTGTAAGCTGGATCTACTCAAAAACAAACAAACAAACAAAAACACTTGAAGACCTTTTTAAACAAAGTTCAGGAGTTGTTACAGCCTTGTTTTCTTGTGCTTGAAACCCTTTAAGTAAGGAGTGTGTCACTCCAGTGGATCTTCTGTGTGAACCTGCTGTTGTAGCAAAGGTGTTCCCTGGGCCTCTCCCACTTGGATAGCTGCGTGAGCTCTGTGAACTATTGAATGAGTGATGCAAGGTCTGTTTTCAGATTGATTTTAGCCTGGATTAATGGGAGTTTGATACAGAGTAAGTAGAATGACACCGAACTAATTTTGTCCTTCAAAGAAACAGAGGAGCTGTCTCATCAGTAAGGAGTCATGCAAAAAAAAAAAAAAAAAAAAAAAAAGTCAGGTAATTCATAATGAGGTATTTGCACTACTTTGCAATAAGTAAATGAAGACATAGAGCTTTTATTTCACAGGGGTGGCTGTGGTGGTTCTACCCAGCTGGGCAGCTGTACTACAGCACAACCACTCTCTCACTCCCCCTCCTCAAAGGGAAGGGGGAAGAAAATTTGATGAAAAGGGCTCAAGGGTTGAGATAGGGACAAGGAGAACACTCAGTGATTATCGTCATTGGCAAAACAGGCTCAACATAGGGAGATTAAAATGATTTATTGCCTATTACTAGTAGACTAGAGCAGTGAGAAACAAAGAAAACAAACTAAACCCACCTTCCCCCCATCATTACACGCTCCTACTAACTCCCCCTGAGCAGTGCAGGGGAAGGGGCAATGGGGGCTGCGGTCAGTGCCTGGCGCTTCGTCCCCGCTGCTCCCTCAGGGTCCCTCTCTGCCCCTTCTCCCCGTGGGGTCCCTCCCATGGATGCCGTCCTTCCCGAACTGAGCCTGCGGGGGCTGCCCACAGGCTGCAGCTCTTCAGGAACTGCTCCCACACGGCTCCGTCCCACGGGGTCCATCCCCCAGGAGCAAACTGCTCCAGCACGGGTCCCCCACGGGTGGGCGGCAGCTCCCCCCAGACCCCCTGCTCCTGCGTGGGCTCCTCTCCACGGGCTGCAGCTCCGGCCCGGGGCCTGCTCCTGCGGGGGCTCTCCATGGGCCGCAGCCTCCTCCAGGCCACATCCACCTGCTCCACCGGGGGCTCCTCCACCCATGGGGGGGCTGCAGCGTGGAGATCTGCTCCATGGGGGACCCATGGGCTGCAGGGGGACAGCCTGCTCCACCAGGGGCCTCTCCACGGGCCACAGGGGAACTTGTGCTGCCTTGTGCCTGGAGCACCTCCTGCCCTCCTGCTGCACTCCCCTTGGGGGCTGCAGGGCTGCTGCTCTCTCAGCTCTCACCCCTCTCTCCCAGCTGCTGTAGCACAGCAGATTTCCCCTTCCTTCCATCTGATCTCCCAGAGGCGCAAACAACATCGCTTACTGACTTGGCTCTGGCCAGCAGCACGTCCCTTTGGCACCAGCTGAACTGTCTCTTATCTAACATGGGGGCAGCTTCTGGACTCTGCTCACAGAGGCCACCCCTGCAGTCCCCTGCTACCAGAACCTTGCCATTTAAACCCTTGCCAAGTGGTTCTTGCATGCTTTATCTTCAATAGTAACATAGAAGTTAATAGATACCATACACTATGTTCATGCAAGGTGATGCAGTTTAATACCCTTCAAAGAAAATTAAGGAGTCTTCAGAGTTGGGCATTTAACTGTGTTACAGGCTTCTGGGAAAGACAAATGCTTTGCTGAATAGAAGCAGCACCATCTTCACTTGCCTTTGCCAGGTCTCCTCTGTGACTGCTATTGCACCTACGTTCTGTAGTGGCAGCCTTTTTCAGCCGTTGTTGGGAGAGGTTTTTCCCCAAGACCAATAAGTGCCACTTTCTTCCATCAGACATTGTATTGTGGAGTCCTCAGCCAAGATGTAAACTGAGCCTGTATGTATTTTATGAAAGGATTTTAAAATTATATACTTCAGAAGTCATGAACTAAATGTGAGTCCATAATGATATGCTTTTGTGAACAAGTCAAGTATCATCTGAAAAATAGTCATCATACTTTTTCTATTTGTCAGGCTTGACGGCTCTATTATACCAATTTTGGGGAGGCATGCCAAGAAAATAGTGGACTGGTCAGAGAGAGTCCCAAGGAAAGCAGATGGGTTTGTCAGGGAACAGGAGAGCACAGCCAATGAAAAGAAAATTGAAGGGATGGGGCTTGCCCAGGGATCTGAATAATGGGGGAGATAGGATGCCTTGAAGTATATAACACATCTGTTAGAACAGATGGCCTTTTAATGTTCCTTCTCTACCTATTTCTTATGAATTTATGGTAACTACCTACAATATTGATGCCAAAAAGGTAAAAACTCAGAAAAACACCAGATTATTAGAGTGGCCTTATAGGATCAGACAGAAGATTAAACTGAGACACTAGATCAGCATCACCAAGTACCTTTCTGTAGTGCCTGTATGCTAGTGCATGCAGTGTTGGGAGCGAACAGCAGGAGTTACAGGTCTGCATGCAGCTGTAGGGCTACAGACCCGCTGTGATCATGGTAGTGTGGTAGGATAGCTGCAATGAATGGGACAGACAAGCTGGGAAGACAAGGAAGGGAGTACGAGGGACATACTGGAGCAAGGCCAGTGAAAGGCCATGAAGATGATTAAGGGCTTGAAGCATCTTCCTTAGTGAAGAGAGGTTTAGAGAACTGGAACTGTCTATCCTGGAGTTAAGAAGGGTCAGGGGTCCTTATCAGTGTGTATAAATAAGAGTGTGTAAAGAGGATGGAGCCAGAGAATTCTCAGTGGTTTCCAATGACAGGACAAGAGGCAATGGGAACAAATGGAGTAAAAGGGAATTCTGTTTGAACGTAAGAAAAAGCTTTCTTACAAAAAGGAGAAGGAAAGGTGGTCAAACACTGGAAGAGGTTGCCCAGAGAGGTTGTGAAGTCTTTCTCCTTGAAGATATTCAAAACCTGACTGAACATGGCTATGAACAACCTGCACTAGGTGACTCTGCTTTAAGCAGGGCTGTTGGAGTAGATGATCTCCAGAGGTCCCTTTCAACT